TCCCAACACTGGATTTCGGTGTTCCTGACCCTTCCCTCAAACTAGGCTGGGCCGAGGCGGGCAACGCGAAGCGTTTACAATTAAATAGAGGAGTCAAAAGGGATGTTAGACATCCTTGGCAATGCAAAGGATGCGATGATGATAGTTAGCAAGGAACAAGTAGAGATGCAAAGGATGTTGTGATGATGGTTGTCAAGACGCGGATGATAACGATCATCACGCCCTCGCGTGCCATTATCTTATTAGGCAGCATTGGTGATGCAGAATATGATACGATGATAGTTATGATGACATTCCTCCATTGCCTAATTCTTCAGTGGCATCCTTGTCTCCTTTTTCTGGCGGGCTTTTCGTCAGGGAAAGCACCACAAATTTATATTTTTTAATTTGAGGCATCCTTCTCATGATCATCATCATGATGGTCGTCATCATCTCTTTCTTGTTCTCTTATCCTTGTCCTCATTATCATCGTGGTCATCATCGTCTCTTATTCGGCAGCGTCGCTGATGCAGAAGATGTCACGATGATAGTTGTCATCACAGCCGTTAGTGATGCCAAGGATGCCACGATGATGGTTGTCATCCTTGTCATCATCTTTGTCATCATCTGATCATCACCTAGCATCATCGAATCTCTTATTATACATAAACAATCAAAAGGGACGTTAGACATCCTTGGCGACGCAAAGGATGCGATGATGATAGTTATCTAGGAACAAGTGGAGATGCAGATGATGTTGTGATGATAGTTGTCATGACGCGGATGATAACGATCATCACGGCCGCGCGCCAGTTTCCGCTTGAAACGGCTCCTAGGGCAATATTCCAATAGGCCGGCAGGCCGACAGACAGACGCGCAAGCAAGAAAGCAAACACGCGGACAAGCCATCGCCTGAGCAGGAAGCAAGCATGCGAACAAGAACACAGGCAGGGCAGGCAGGACAGCACACAGGCAGGCAACAGGCGAGCAGAGGAGCAGAACAAGAAGACCTGCAAGCAGACACAGACAGGCGCCAGGCAGGAGAAAGACAAGCGATGATGGTGGTGATCAGGGTGAGCATGAGGGCGAGGATGATGATGATGATGATGATGATGATAGACTGATGGTGAAGATGATGATCAGGAGGAGGATGAGGATGATGAGGACGAGGATGATGAGATGATGCTGATGATGATGATTATGATGATGATTATGATGATGATGATTATGATGATGATGATGATAGACTGATGGTGAGGATGATGATCAGGAGGAAAATGAGGATGAGGATGAGGATGGTGAGGATGATGATAATGAGGCTGATGATGAAGATGATGAGGATGAGGATGATGATGAGGATGATGATGAGGATGAGGATGAGGATGAGGGTGATGATGGTGAGGATGATGATGATGAGGATGAGAATGATGAAGATGAGGATGAGAATAAGGGTGATGATAAAGATGAGGATGAGGATGATCACGGTGAGGATGATAATGATGAGGATGATGATACTGATGAGGATGAGGATGATGAGATGATGCTGATGATGATGAGGATGATGATGATGAGGATGATAAGGTGGATGATGATGAAGATGAGAATGATGATGGTGAGGATGATGATGATGAGGGTGATGATGAGGATGATGGTGAGGATGATGAGATGATGCTGATAATGATAATGATAATGAGGATGAGGATGAGGATGATGAGGATGATGGTGAGGATGATGATGAGAATGCTGATGAGGATGATGATGATGAGGATGATGATGAGGATGATGATGACAATGAGGATGGTGATGGCGAGGATGATGATGATGCGGGTGATGCGGGTGATGAAGAGGATGATGAGGATGATGAGGATGATAGAGAGGATGATGAGGATGAGGATGATGATGGGGAGGATGATGATCATGCGGATCAGGATGATGATTATGATGATGACGATGAGGATGAGGATGATGAGGATGATGATGAGGATGAGAATGATGATGAGGATGATGATGCGATGCTGATGATGAGGATGAGGATGATCACGGTGAGGATGATAATGATGAGGATGATGATACTGATGAGGATGAGGATGATGAGATGATGCTGATGATGATGAGGATGATGATGATGAGGATGATAAGGTGGATGATGATGAAGATGAGAATGATGATGGTGAGGATGATGATGATGAGGGTGATGATGAGGATGATGGTGAGGATGATGAGATGATGCTGATGATGATAATGATGATGAGGATGAGGATGAGGATGATGAGGATGATGGTGAGGATGATGATGATGAGGATGATGATGAGGATGATGATGACAATGAGGATGGTGATGGCGAGGATGATGATGATGCGGGTGATGCGGGTGATGAAGAGGATGATGAGGATGATGAGGATGATAGAGAGGATGATGAGGATGAGGATGATGATGGGGAGGATGATGATCATGCGGATGAGGATGATGATTATGATGATGACGATGAGGAAACAGGCCACATAGCACAACAAGCGGCATCACAGACACAAGAACCTTTCATCCCCGCGTCCAAACCGGCGAACTCGAGCAAAACCTGGAGACCGAAAACAGCCCGAAGTCACGCCGGGGCGGTACCTGGGAGAATCGCTCGGGGTCGACAAAAACGCGAAAAAACACCTCCGGGCGCCCTCAAAACAAAAAAGCTCAAAAAATTGGCTGCGGCAATTCACTTTACTGGCGTTGTCCCCGGGGGGTCGGGAGTTATAGCCACCTGGGGGCTATGTAAAAACCAAATGCATCGCCAGCGCACCAACATCATCATCGCCCCCCATCAACCCACCCCCTGGTTTCAAGCCCTGCACACGCGTACGCGGATCAATCCCCTCGGATCGCGTGCTCAGGGCATGAATCTGTCTCTTCTGGTCTCCCCTCTTCTAGCAAATCAAAGTCAACCTCACAGCAATCGCGCGGGAACAGCTGCAACCATCCGAGGCCAGAAATCAACCTAACTCGGTGTGTTAGATCGTTTTTTCGGGTTCCCACTTCCCAAAGCTCATCCGGAAGAGCCGCAACCAACCGAGGCCAGAAGCCAACCTTGTTGGTGTAGCAGCCCGGCTCGCTCTTCAACACGCCTGCCCCCGCATGCGTGGATCGATTCTTGCCTTCAGGTCTTGCAGAGCTCATTCAAAACGGAAATTGAGAATCAACTGACCCGACCGAAATCGACCCGCCAGCGGTTGACCGTATTTGCTTTGTCGAGATATTGTTTCAGTACTAAGTTGCTGTATCGCAAGCATCTCGGACAGTCAAAGCAATACATACCAATAAAATCGAGTGGTATCGCAAAGATTGCATTACCGGGCCGTGTCGTCGTCGAAACAGCCCTGGAACAAACACCTCCGGGAGCCCTCTAAACAAAAACGCTAAAACAATTGCCACACATTGTCACGCCCCAGTGAGGGGGTTGGCGGCACTGGGCGGCAGCCCTTAAATTTCTTACATCTGTTCCGGTCCCGTGTCTGCCCACGTGTTTGTGTCGGTCTGCGCTTCAACTCAATTTTCCGGTTTCGCGTGCCCCCAACTGCTCTGTTTGTGTCTTTGATCCTGCTTTCTCTTCGTATCCCGTGTGCGTGTGTGTCCGGTCGACCAGATTCTTCTTTGTTCCTCCTTTGGTTGCTGAGCCTGTCTGCCCAGTTGCCCTGCTTTGCTCCCCATTTCGGAAGATGTCTTCCCCGCCTTGCATTCTTGCGATCCAGCGCTATCCCGGCTGCCATCTGTCACTCTTCGCAACTGCATCCCTTTCTGCCTTCGTTCCTCCTGGTGCCTGCACCGCTTTCAATTTAATGTCTGTCACGAGTTTCTTTTCTAATCCGGCGTCTAACATTTGACTGTCACGTGTTTCTGCATCAGCGGAGCAACCAAGCCGGCCCAAAGTACAAACAACAATTCGAGGACCGGATAACCCCGCACGCCTGGCCTTTTGCAAAGTGAGGGTCAGCATGCGTAAGTTGAGTGAGTGATTCAATACGAAACACTACTTGGCTTTTCAGATCTACATCTTGCGTCGGCTCGCGCAAGTGGCTGGATTTCGCTCTGGGAGATCCCCTTGCTCCCCTCGGGGGAGGCAGGTGCCTATGCAGAGAGTCACGTCAGGACATAAATCGGCTTGTAACACTGCACATCGGCCCCAAGCAGGTTCACCATCCGGCTGCTCAATATTTGTGTCTTGCTGAACCAGCAGCCCAACCACCAACCCGCCCAAGCAAGGGCCACATCAGAGCCAGCCTCGGGCCCGCCAGCGTCAGACCCGTCCCAGGCCCAGCCCAACCAGCAACCAGCCCAGGCCCTCCACCAACCAACCCAAGCAAGGCCCAGCCCGCCCTGTCTGCTGGCTCCATGGCTCACTCCTGGTCCTGTTCCCCTTGCCCTTGCCTCCGGGATTTTTTGGGCCCATGACATCCATTGGTCCAACGACGCCAGAACCTGTCCATGCCTGCTTGACCAGCTCTGCTGCTTGCAGTCGAACCACAGACGCTGCGCGCTCGGCTGGGCCGAGGCGGGCAACGCGCAGCGTTTACAATTTGCTTCGTGCAGGGACGGCAACGGGACTGCACGGCACGCACAGTTTGTCTCCGATGCCTTCTGACTGCCTGCTCTTCATGCAACGCAAAGCCGCTCCACGGCACGTCCGACTCCATGGCCCTCGTAACAAAAACTCGGGAAAAATGGCCAAGCTCATGGCCGGAGCTCGGCTGCTCTCTGCAAGCTTCAAAACGTCTGCAAAGCGCGCTTTGTCCAGCTGCTTAAAATCTGAAAAGCAGACCCTCGCCTATCGATGTGCGAAACAAGAGTCTCGCCTTCCCATAACAAAGCTGCGTTTCTGGGATTGCAAAGCATCGAAACGGACAAGGAAAGTGACGTTGTCACTTGCTGCACTTGTTGCAGTGGATCAACTTCAGAGAAACCAGTCAGGCCAAATATTGGCTGTCGCGTCACAGGTACAATAACGTTGTGGAACTGAAATGCACTCGCTGACCTGCTCATTTGGAGGGCTCCTGACACAAAGAGATGGGCTGAATTGACTGTCGCAAAGATCCAGCGCATGTAATGTCACAAGTCGCCGTCGGGCCCCACGTAATGTGCCGTGCCCGTCTCCTGGAGCTCGATCAAGAGATCCCCTGGCGCCAAGATGACACCCTGCGCTTCCTTTGTGCGGCCCTTGCAGGGCAAGTCCTGCAACAGAGCATGCATAATGCACACTTTCGACGACGCATTGACAAAATGTTTCACGGTCATAGCATGGCCTCATGGTGCATGTCTTCTCAATGTCTTTACCGCGTTGTTCATGTCACGAATGCATGTTCGCCGCTTGTCTTCCCAAGTCACTGCCACGAACTGCTGAATGAACTTGCGTCTGAAGATCATTCCCATCTGCTGTGGAGCATTGCCAGGTCTTTCTCAGGAGAAAGGAAAGGAGTCGGACGGAGGGTCTCCAAACAAAAACAACTGCTTTGAACCAGTCTTAGCAAGACACTGTCTCCTTCTCTGGTGCAGCGGTTTGTCACCGCGTACTGCACTCCATCAACAAAATGTCTCACCTGTTGGATCACACAAGTTGATTGGTAGGAGTGTGTGCCGATGGCATTACATGTGTCCTTCACCACGAGTCCGTCCAACTCATCAGAGACGGGGATCTTCATCTCCTTCGGGATTTTGGCCATGCAGCAAATGCACACTAACACTGCACAAAGGCTCTGCCAGGGCTGTTGAATCCCTGTGGAACCCTCGGCAAGTCTCCATCTTCATGGATTCCAGGACGCACAGGATGCTGCCCTTCTTCAGGGTTTCTCCGACCTGAACGTAGCATGTTGCACAGTCCGAGAAACACGACACTCAACAAGAGGAACAAAGTATGGAGGTCTTTACACCATCACTGTTTCTGAAACTTAGAAGATTTGCATTTTCACTTTGGGAAACGGCCGTCGGCATCAAGCACCTGCCTTCACTGAGTATGAAAGCATTTCGCCGGGCACGACGGTGGGAACCTTAGTGCAGGCACACAGCAGTGCTCAGGAGTGCTCAGGAGTGCTCAGGAGTGTTCAACCTTGGGATGGAGCCTCGAGCTTGTTGCCAGGCGTTGCCTTGCGGTTGCCCTTGGCGCTTGCCACCCCGGAAGCCGCATCTGGGTCTGGCAGCTGCACCTGACGCAAAGCGCACCGGTCGGCAACCAAATGCTTCGAGGTACCCCAATTCGTTGGCAGCGTGTAACCATCGTGTGCCAAAGGCTAAGTCAGTGTTGCCGGAATGGACAAGTATGCTTGCCGTGGCTGTACGGCTTCAAGCTTTGGTTTTGACAAGACCTGAGTCAATATTTATTTGACAGTGATTGTGACGAGAAACAATGCGTTTGCCAGGCTCTTCGCAACCGATTTGACCCGACAGCACTGGAATCATCAAGTTTATCGCGAAGACCGCGCCTGAAACTAAATAATCCCTTTCAAGTGACTCCTAACAGTACTCTGCAAGCGCGAGTGCTCCAGGAGAAAGCCTTGCATCGCGCATGTTATTCACGTAATACCGAAGAACAATCCCAACATCCGCCTGCACCGACTGACCCTCGTGCAGAAAGCCTCAGCTTGGCATCTCCAATACCCAAAGCGCCTTCCTGGCCTTCCGCGAGGGGAACAACTTGATAATCCCGTCCCCCCATTCAAGGACTTGCCAAGCACCACATATACCATCCTCCCCGACCCGGCAAGCTCTTTTGTTTGTGCTGTTTCAAAAGCAAGCTTTCTTGACCGCTCAACGCCACGTGATGAGTTTCAAAGCCACTGCAAGCGAGAAGTCGTCAAGGGGACAACTTAGCAGCAAGAAGTGGCTTGCCGCATGAGAAAAGACCAAAATGACACAGTATCACAGGAGCCACGGCAGTCAAAGCACCTAGCAACTGAGAAATCCAGGTCAAAATCCTGCCAACATGGGGCCCTCAAGAAATACCGGCTTGAGTAAGGCAAAGCCAAAGCTGGGATTTGCGTTATGTGCGTTATGTGCGTTGTGTGCGTTGTGTGCGTTGTGTGCGTTGTGTGCGTCTTCAGCCAAGAAGCTGAGCGTCAACTCCCGTGCCATGCTCTCTGGGCCTGAGGCAGCTCCAGGCGCCAGGCCAAAGCCCTGGAACGTGATCTCTTCCTGGAACGATCATTTCATCTCAAAACGGTCACGACTCAATCTCGAAATGGAAAGCTTGTGGAATATCGTCGTGGAAATAGCTTCAATGTCATGGAATGTCGTGCTATGCTTCAAGTGATCCCAGTATGCCATCGCTGCTGGACATGTGGGGCCTTTGCGGCCTTTGGGGAATTGCGAGATACAGCGACAGCGCCTTCTGAGGGAGCGTGCCGTCCAGCTTGTCCATGAGGATCTGGAAGCTCGTGCCCGCTCGCAGCGCTTTGGGTGCGCTGTGCAGCACTTCCGGTGCCAACAGCAGCGGCGTCATGTCGGTGCCCTTCGCCTGACAGAACAAGCAGCTTCCCCCCGTAAAGTTCAACATGTTCGCCATGCTCACCACCTATATGTGCTGCTTTTGACCTTGCGGCTTGCTGTTCCGAATGCGGAGCCCGGTGCCTGCGCTTTGGCAAACTCGAAGCCCTTCTGCTGATATCCCAAGGCATTGTGGCGCTGCGCCGGGGTGAAGTGAGCTGGGATGTCAGCGGGCCCCAGCAGTTTGCCCTTCTGGCCAAGAGCAGCTTCCAGCTCCTCGTGCACTCAACGCTTGACTTTCCGCTCTCATGTCATGTCTGCCACATGTCCATTGTCCAACCGTACGTCACTGATTCATTTTCACCGTAAGTCACTTCGTCTCATTTCGTCCTCGGGCATATTCTCCAAGAGTTTGTCCACCTCGGGGGTCTTCGGCCCCAGCGTCTCCCAGCGCTTCAGGCCGACCAGCACGTCGCCTCCCACCTTCAGCTTGCCCCCACCGTTCACCCACTTCTTCACCTCAGCTGACTCAATTGCCGCACAAATTACGCACACATGCACGAAGAGTACAAGCAGATTACTTGCTGGTTACAAGATTACAAGCAGTACATTCGTCACATATCTTCAACCTGTTGGATGCAGCATCCAGGTGCAAAGTTCAGGGAAAAAAGAACAAGAAAACATAGAAAATCAGGGTAGGCGCAGCTTCCACGGACTTGGGCTCGATGCCAGGCTCGATCATGATGGCCTCAGCACCATGGGCATCAGGACATGGGGGCAATCAGGCAATGCCTCTCTCTCTCTCTCTCTCTGAGCCCGCTGCAATTCCAAGACGCAGCTTGTACTCTGAGAAGGGAGTCACTGCCCTCTCAAGCGGGAAGACTTCGCTGGCAATTTCCTGAAGGTCACTCCATTGTGGATCAACGGTTGCTTGTTCAAGGAGCGCTTGCTTGTCCGAATCGAATGGCTTCAACAATGGGCACGATTCTCAAGAAACCAATGCCCTCTTCAAGCATACAAGCTTTCTGAGTCACTGAGGAGTAGAACGCAATGCCTGAGATAAGATCTTCTGGCCTTGGCGTCATTGATCTTTCGCACATCGAGGGAGTACTCCTTCGCAATGCGGATGTCGGAGCCTCAAGGTTTGCGCATCACTCAGCTTGGCATCAGCTGGCTCTGGCATGCTCTCTGATTGCTGTCTCAGTCTTGCCTTCAGTGCCACCGGCCCAGTCGGAATCCCACGGAGTCATCTGCGACGTGCCTCGACAGACAAAGCCATACAGAGGGCCCTCAAGCAGCACCATTGAAGGCCGGGTCGCACACCAAAACCCACAAACAATAAATTCAATACATATGTCCGCTCCTCAACTCATGTCCGCCCCGCATTTGCAAACATGGCACGGCTGTCAAATCGGCAAATCATGTTCCTCAGCTTCTTGGCGCAACTTCGCAAACGCATGGTACACAAACACACCATCAGCGGCATTCCAAAGCCACGCTGGGAGACCCGGCCAACAGTAGTGAGTGAAGGTGACTATCTTCTATGCTTGGTGTTCTAAGTTAAAAAGCAAGACAAAGTGCCAAAGGGATGAATGTTGGCGGGTGCGCTTTGAAAGACAAGTTCTGAAACGTCCTGTCAAAGATACAATCGCAGGAAAGGCTCTCGATGATCTGCTGGTTGTGATTGTACTCTGCCAGCGCTGACTTCTGCTCAGCATCCAAGTTCAGCTTGGCCAGCAGCACCTGAAGTTCTACCCTGTTGCAATCATGGGTACATCTTCATGCATCTGCACATCTTCGCCATCTGCGATCAAGGGCTCAGTGTTGTCATTGTGGGTGCCATTCTTGCGCGGGGCGCCATCAATGACCAGGGTGCTGAAGTTCGCCTCACACTGCAAAGTTCACCAGGGTTTTCTGCAAAGCCAAAGACAAAACACCTCGGCGCATAAAGCACTCCGCCTGCTGCGCCTTGCCGAACAGCTCAGCGCCAATATGGCCCGCCATGCCATTGAAGTCCTTGCACGTGCCACGACGCAGACCACTGGATTGGTCAGGCTCAAGTTCCCATGGTTCGCTCGGGACATCTATTGAACTTTGTCGAATTTTGTCGAACTTTTTCGAACTTTGTCGAACTTTGTCGAACTTTGTCGAACTTTGAACCTGTTGCTGCTGGGGCGCATGATTGTGGATGTAGACAATCGGCGGGGGAAGGCCCTTGGCTTTGAAGACCTGGATCATAGTGTCCACGTGCGCCCAAATGGCATCTGCAGTCCAGTCCAATCCCTGCAGGTCAGTTGCAACATCTATGAGCTCTGGCACATTGAAGCCGCACCGCCATCAGTTCAAGGGAAACTGGTCAATGACATCACATTAGTCATGATGAAAGACAGTACCGAATACATCTACCCTCCAGGCAGGAAATGTCAAGACGCGCTTCCATCGAATCTTTCAGATTTGACCCCTGAGGGCTTGAGGGTTTCGTATAGCTCTGCTCCTGCCCGGGATTCTTGATGCGAAGCTGGTGCAGCGTCAGACCCTTCTTCTCAAAGTTCTCGATCTGACGCTCCGTCCACCTCTTCAAGGCCTCAGGGCTTGCACTTACGGAAACTGGTCACCAAGGAGCAAAGCTTGCAACGCTTGCAACGCTTGCAACATGAACATTGAAGAACCAGGGGCGACTTCAAATCCGGCAATCCATTCAATGCGATCTCCAAGGCCCACTCATCGAGGGGGAACTTTGGTGAGAAGACCCAATTTGGCATAGGCCTCAGCCGTGGCTCTCAGATTCCAATCTTCAAATTCGCGCTTGGCACACAAGTCAGCGCAGGGCAATGTCTGCCAGCTCAGGCTGTAGCAGGCACTTGGCATCCAGCAGCTCAAGTGTGGTGTCGTCCTGCAAAGCTGAAGGTGCTTTGCAGTGTTTTGCACAAGACTGCAGTTGTTTAGCAGTTTTGAACCAGCCTGCGGGCAATAGCCAGTCTTCTCATTAAAGTAGTTGCCAGCGTGGAAGTTGTATGGCTGCCAGGGGACCCAGCCTCACAAGCTATTTAATCTGCAAAGTGGTGGCAATTGATGCCAGAGTCGCCAACACAAGCCCTCGTGATGATGCGTGTTGCAGGTCGGCAAAACCAATGGCATAATCATATCATAAGAAAGGCTGACTGAGCATCAAGCTGCTCGTGCCACCCTCGCCACGGTAGTGCTGGGCAACGATCTGCGCAGTGGACTCGAAAAGAGGCTTACCTTGGCAATGCAGAGTACAAACGGCGCATTGGCCGTGAAGCCATGCTCTCCGCAAATTGGGTCAAACTCGGAATCGAGGGCGTGGCTTGTTTTTTTTGCAAAACACACATGACAAGCAGAACCAGCACTGCGAGCAAAACCCACTCAACCAAAAACAAAGAACAAGCATTTCATTGCTGGGCAGCACCCACAGTACCATGGATTGACGTGACTTGGGATTGGCCAGGGCTGCCTTGGAATGTTGAGACTGTGGCATGACAAACCCTGCCCAGGTTGTAACTCGTGTTCTGGGTTGTTTGAATTGCACATGACCTCATCAAATCTTGCAGCAACAACCGAAGTTCTGGCAGATTCTGACCTTTGCCCCAAAGAATGCGTAGTTGCAAAGCCAGTGCCAATGATCATGTGAATGCTGTTTCTTTCAAACTTCCAAGGATTGGCACGCCTCCCACTGCGTAGTCAAGGGAACCCCCTTCAAGGCCAGTACCCACATTTGTTCTTTCCTACTGCAGCCAGGCAGAAGCCTCAGTCTTTCTCCATGAAAGGTCAATCTCTATGTCTCTTTCGATTGTTGCCAAGCTGCGAATCTCCGGAGTAAGCTCTGCGAGGCCATTCACATATTGCGATCGCTGCAAGGAGTGCGCAGGCATGTTGTAAGGCAGGCCTTGACCACAAGCAACACCGCAACAGGGAAGAGGCCGAGACAATGTCGGCAGAGGCTATCTTTAAGGCCGATGCCCAATCGCAAAATTGCCGCAGGGTCAAAGCCGCGGATCAGTCCTGCAAGCCACACATTGGGGTGCTATCAAGGTGGCATCGATGCAGAATGCGAAATGCAGAACTCAGTCCTGCTTGGTACTGCGCTCCTCCAGTCTCATAGCCCACCTGGGACAAAGTGGGACGCTGAATGCAGGGCCAGGTTGTGCTCTGATACAGACACGCGCAGGCCCATCTTGGCCCAGGCACACATCCAGCTTGCTGCGCCCAAACTTCCGCGTTGATGCGAGAGATGTTGGTGATCTCGGTTAGCTCTGCTGTAGACTGCCACCAGAAAACATGCTCAAGGATTCAGATGCCGTGAACAAAGATATGCGGAAGATGGACAGCCTAGCAAAATCCGAACCCGTGACCAGAGGCGGCTAGTTGGCCGCATCCTCAGCATCACCAGAATCACTCGGACTTGGGGCCGCCTATTGGCTCTGAGTTGGTGTTGAGAATTGCTGTGGGCTGGTCTCGGGTGAGATTTAGGCAGCCTAAAACTCACCCAAAACGAGCCAGAGCAACACTTAACTACCACGAAAACCAAACCCGTAGGCAGCCCTAGGTCCGAGGAGGCCGGTGATGCCGGGCATGCGGCCAACCAACCAAGCAACCAAGCAACCAAGAGAAAGCTCTGATTTGGGGCCAGAAAAAAAGAATCCCACTGGGACCAACTCAGCAGATACGCACAATGCAATTGTCCTGGGTCTCTGACAGAAGCACTCTCCGAGTCATTGCCCTGCTGACAAGTATCACGAGGTGCCACGGTAACCCAGCCACCACCCTGTCAGGTCACAGAATGAAAGCCATGAATGCATTCAACAAAAACTCCGTATAAACCAATCCCGACTTACCTGCTTGTCCAAGGTCGTCCGCAGCTCCTTGATGTAATCCTCATATGAGGCCTGCTGCGTGGAAGCTAAAAGAATACATACGTTTTACCGACATGCAACTTACATTGCAATTCAATCTTAACGGAAGAGGCCTGTCCACGTGCAAACTCGGTGAACTTTGTGGCTTGAGGGGCCGTCCTCGGACAAGCGCACGTACGACTTGCTGTCACAAACAAAACACAAGCTTCAGCGCCAGCACTCATCGCAAGGCAGGCGACTTCTGAAGCTCGTGTGAAAGCTCTTCGAGGGCTGCACAAACGCCTAAGCCCATACCCACCTTCCTCTGAATCACGTGGCAACATATGGCAATATATTATGGCAACATATGGAAATATACCTAAGACGTGAGACTTGGACCTTTTGTGGGGTAGCGGTCTGGGTCGATGCCCTCGCCCTTGCGGTAGCCATTGACAATCACGGGCGCCACTTGTTCCTTCACAACTGTGAGGACCTGGCGCACCGAAGTGCTATGGGCAACGAAAATGGTGACTCAATGGATGAGCTGAGAAAACGGGGTGGATAAATCGGATAAATGAGGCATTGACCCCACGCTCAGGATGATCAGGAATCTCGATGTGAGCGAAGGTCTCGTTGGATGCTGTCTCGCCAGCCCGGAACCTGAGTTGAAAGGAATGGCAACTGGCCTGGATGAATCTATTCCTCGGTCTCTCCTCATTGTCTTTGCTTCTGCGCAACTTTGGACTGGTGAACAAGTTGTACAAGGTCTGCGCGTAGGTGGAAGCTGCCTTGGCGTTAACATGCGCAATAAATTGAAAATGCATGTTGAAAAACTTTGTGGGCGAAATGAAGAACAACACATATGGGGCTGTGTCAACTCGGCAATCCAAAAATGATTGATTTCTGTTCGGCTTCCCTTTACAACCAATCAACAACGGGTCCCCTCAACAAAAGACACACCCACATTCTGAGATTGAGATCAGCAGCTCCCATCACCGCAGGCTTGCGCAGCCTCACCGTGGCAGCGACGCCGCGTTGCTTCTTCGGACACCGCGTTGCTTCTTCGGACACCGTGAACGCCTAACATGCCAGGCCTGAAATACTCCGCCGCATTGTCACACATCTCGGCCCAGGAATCTGCGGTGATCACTGCCTCAGTTCTGCGAAACGGGCCCCGAATTGCAATCTGCGGTGAGCACTTTCGGCCCTTTCCCCGGCCTTTCCAAGCTGTGGATCGGAAGTAAAGGAGATCTCGCCAGGAGCCATGAGCTCGGCTTTGATGTAATCAAGCCTCAGACTGATGGCACTCGAGGCACACATCAAGACAACCCATCTGCAAAACAAAGGCCCGCCTGGGGCCGCTCATGCCCAGGATGTTGCCAGCCTGTCAAAAACAAGGCAAAAGCTCTGGACTACCCGCTTAATCCAACTTAGCACTTACAACGCGTGGCCTGATACGTGATCTTGCCATCGCTGTCTGGATTGCCGTGCAACCAGCGAGCATGCAGCACAACCGCGCAATCCGTGGCCGGCTCGAACTTGGGTGCCGGGTAACCCTTTGCACCTTAAGGCAGGAGACATGCCGGCCCGCTTGCTGGGGGCTGGCTTGCTCGCCGCTTGGCCTTCCATGGCCTTCCTGTTTGGCTGGTTACATTGCTGGCGGGCTTGGCTGGCCTGCTGGTCTGCTGGCCTGCGGCCCGGGGGCAAAAGAACAGCCACTTAACAACTTGGCGGCAAACAGAAAGTTGCGCCATAACAACGCCACGCTGCCACTCTCTACTGAAATGTGTCTCATCTGAGAATCGCTGGGGTGCCGGCGCATCATCAACTCGGCAAAGGTGTAGCGACGATGGCCCTTGCTGTCCTTCTGCAGAAGAGCCAAAGCTTCCTTACCAGGCATCGGGTCGGCAAATCTGGGTGAAACCTACAAACCCGTGAAGCGGGCCGGTCACCAGGCTGAAGGTGGTAGGCTCTGTGCCAAAGCTCATTCTCCACTTGTGGGCGTCGATTGCACTCGATGAAGGAGCATTCAAACTTGCCTTGGTGGTGTAGAAGCACTATGCTGGTACCAGTTCAACAGCTAACCTCATCGAACCGCAAAGCCAAGGGCCTTTTTCGTTCTTGAAGACCAATGCCTCCATGGTTGCCCTGCACAGATCTCAGTGTTGACACCATGGCTGCGAGCAAGCTTGAAACGTCCGCCTTATCCAATCATGCGATCCTCCTATGCATAAACTTAAACCACAAATGTGTGAGCCTATTGCGCCCTCAAGACGGCTGGCATCACAAAGCGCCTGGTGTTGTTGTTCCCCATCTTAGCAATGTCCCCGGCCCACACTCGCGATTTCTTGTACAAGTCTTCTGGCCTCACAGCAATGCTGAATGTCTTGGCGTTTCTGTCACAAGAACCTGTCAAACTCATGAAATATGCCCCGATTGTCTTTGCAGTCGCCCAAATAGACATTTGAGTAACCCCATCATCAATCAGTTGGGGTTCTGCCCTGAATACTGACCTAGCTACATGAACATCGTGATGTTTGCGTCGTCGAGGCCAATCTCGACCACCTGGAGGCTGTGACGAAACAGCACAGAGAAGCGCAACTTCCCGCAAATTGTGAACAAACCCCTCTTTTGCGGGCGCTTCAAGAATCTTCACATCAAGTCACAAAGGGCAGCCTGGGCAACACCACAGCGCCTTTTGCAAGGAGGAGTTGAACCACACGAAGCGGCCACCATCAGCAACTGTTTCGCCATCAACCTTGGGCAAACGGCCATTCAGGCATTCACGCAGCTCGTGCTGCATCGACAAACGTGAGCCGACACCGCAAAAGTAGCCTCCAGCTCGATCTGGTAGAAACGCCCATCTCCCTTTGTGTTCACCTTGGCTTGCCCATCCAGAGAGTATGCAAACATAGGAAACAGCAGAGCTATGTTTGAGCACATGCTGACACAGTCCTGCACATAAGGTCAGCACACGCTGTTCAAAGTAGATACCATCAGTACGATTCATCTCTGTGATAACCTTCTCCACAGCCCTTCGGACCTGCGTGGCACTGCGTGCCCAAGCCATCTGCCGTCACAATGCACATCATTGCACCGATTTCTGCCTCATGGGGTTGGTCCGGGTGATGCAAATGGGCAGTTCCCTTTCCTCCGCCTCCATGAATAGACTTGATCAAGCCTCGGGTGTCGTGGACTCTGCAGCCCTGGGTCCCCTATTGAAGCCAGCCATACTCGCATGGCTAAGCGGAAAGTCGGACACCGGTAGTCGGACATCGTGCTCGGGGAGTCGGACATCGGGGACGACGCAAGTCGGACATCCAAATGTGGCGAGTCGGACGCACGGCAGGCGTTGGTCGGACATCATCACGTGAAATCACACGGACAGGAAAAAATGAGTTGCACGGGCAGTTAGATAAAAAAAAAGGGGGTTCTAAAATCGTTAACCTAATCCCCCTTTTGTATGCTCTTGCTGGTAACATGTGTCTGGTGATTCCAGAACCTAGTGTCGCCGATCCCAACCATCCCGCCCGTCCCGACCGCCACCTCGTCCGTCCCGCCCATGCGCACCGTCCCAACCATCCCGACCATCCTGACCATCCCGAGCGTCCCAACCGTCTGTCCCGCCCATCCCCACCGTCCCAACCATCCCGACCATCCCGAGCGTCCCGACCGCCACCGTCAATGCCCACCGTCCCACCATCCGACCATCCCGACCATCCCGACCATCCCGACCATCCTGACCGCCACCCTATGTCTGCGCATGGTGTTAGGCAAAATTGTGAAACATAATGACTCATCTTCCATACAAGATGCATACAACATGCACACATACAACATGCATGACACCTGCACACAAAGTGCATGAAAGATACGTGCAACATGCGTACAACATGCATGCACAATGCATACAGCACGCATATGACATGCATGAATACAGCATGCATACAACAAGCATACACAATGCTTGCACATGCATGACATGTGATACATAATGCAGACACAGTGCATACGCCGTGCACACAAACTGAAAAAAAAAACGCATACAACATGCATGCAACATGCACCCTAAATGCATATGTCATGCATACAAAACGCATACAACATGCAAACCAAATCCAAACACGATGCATACATCATGCATACAACATGCCTACCAAACGCATACAACATGCATGCAACATAAATAGAACATGCATACATAAGTTATACACAAGGCGTACGGCATCCATACAGAAATCATACATTGTGCGTACAATACACATACAACATGCACACAAGGGTGCACACAAAATGCATACGCACGCAGCACGCATACAGCATGCATACACAATTCATACACAACACTTACACAATGCATACAGCACGCCTACAGCATGCATACAAACTGCATACAAGATGCATACACAACGACACCAATCAAGTATACAACAAGCATACAATATGCATACAAGATAGGTGCATCACACTTACACAATGCATACAACATGCATACAACATGCATACAACATGCATACAACATGCATACAACATGCATGCAACATGCATACAACATGCATACAACATGCATACAACATGCATACAACATGCATACAACATGCATGCAACATGCATGCAACATGCCCACAACATCATACAACATGCATGCAAACACATACCACATGCATACAAAATGCACACAACATGCAATGCAACATGCAAACAACATGCACACAAAATTTATACACCATGCATACACAATGCATACACTATGCATACCAAATGCATACACACGCAAACACGATGCATACACCGTGCAAACAACGTGCACTCGTCATCCATACAGTATGCATACAACCATACATACAACATGCATGAAACATGCACAAAGTGCATGAAAGATACGTGCAACCTGCATACAGCACGCACACACCATGCATGCAACATTCACACAACATGCATACAACAAGCAAACAACAAGCATACAAAAAGCATACACAATGCATGCAACATGCATGATAGTTGACACATAATGCATACACAATGCATACACAATGCATACAACATGCATGCAACATGCATGCAACATGCATACAATATACAATGCATAATGGGCACCTAGTATCAACAACCCAAACAAACCTCAAACAATTCCAACTCCAAAGAAACCCAACAACAAATGAAGCTTAAACGACAAGCAACTTCATTCAACACCTTGCCCTGATCAATCCCGCAAAGGGGGGAGTACTTGAGGAGTCAAAAAGCTTGTTTTAGGGGCTCCCGAAAGAATGATGTGCAGCGCCTCCCCCAAAAACAAAACAATGAAGAACTGTTTGCCAAGCATGCTGGCTAAATGCGTGTCAAAAGGCCTGATTTTTTTTAGAAATGCACGTGGGATTCAATGTGTAGGTGGCCCCCAACAGTTACGTAACTTCAAAATTAAGTGCAACTTCACCTAATGTTTTTGTCTTACCTAAAAAATGGCCCGAACCGAAATTTAGGTAATTTGCAGACTTAGGGTGATGTATCATATGATTTGATTAAACATGACTATCTTTATAACTCAACTAGGGATGCTGTGAGGTTGAGATAAGTTTGCCTGACCGGCGTGTTGATTTTTCCAATGTTGTTTGCATCAATCATCACTTCCATGAGAAGAATCAAGACACAAATTAATCCCAGTGAGGATGTGTCCAATACATATTCTTTGGACACCTATGTCGGCATTATTACATTACATTACACTACCCTACACTACACTACACTACATTACATTACATTGCATTACATACATACAGAACAAGAGATTACATTACATTACATTACATCACATTACCTGGCATTACATGACATACATACATTAATTGCATACATACATACATACATACATACATTCATTCATACATTACATTACATTACATTGCATTACATCACATTGCATTACATACATACATTACATACATACACACCTACATACCTACATACATACATGCATACATACATACATACATTACATACATTCATACATACATTACATTACATTACATTGCATTACATTACATTACGTTACAAAACATTCATACATACATACATACATACATTACATACATACAAACATACATACATACATATGTACATAATTCATCCATACACACATACATACATATATACATGCATACATACATTACATACATACATACATACATACATACATACATACATACATACACACATTACATACATACATACATACATACATACATACATACGGTACATACATACATACATTACGTTACATTGCGTTCCATTACGTTACATTACATTACATTACATACCTACATACAGTACAGTACATACATACAATACATACATACATACCATACTTACACACATGCAAACATACATACATACATTACATTCCATTCCACTCCATTACATTACATGCTACATACAGTATTTACAAACAAACATACTTACATACATACATACACTAAGTACATACCAAGACAGAACAAAACATAACATGTTATAACATAACATACATGCATGCATACGATTACATAACAGTACATTACATTACCATACATAAATACATGCATACATTGTATGCACGTATGCATACACACATACATACATGCATACATAAATACATGTCATGGCAGAAAGGGCATATTGTGACACGGCAAAACATCAAATACATACATACACACAATACAATACATTAAATTACATTGCATTACATTGCATTACATTACGTTACATACATACATACATTACATACATTACATACATTACATACATACATACATACATACATTACATACATTACATACCTTGCATACATACATACATACATACATTCATACATACATGCGCTACCTACATACATACTTCCATTACATTACAGTCCATTGCGTTGCATTACATTACATCACATTACACACATACATTACATGACATTACATGCCATTGCATTACATTCCATTACATTACATTACACGCATGCATGCATACATACATAGCGTACATAAGACACATACAGAAATTCATACAAACATACATACATACATGGATAATCTTACGTTAACACATACATACACACATACTTACATAACATACACACATTACATTACATTGCATTCCATTACACATAGACAAATTGCATTACACTACACTACACTGATCTACGCTACACACATACATACATTAATTAAATTACATTACATTACATTACATTACATTACATTACATACATTACATACATACATACATTACATTACATTCCATTCCATTACATACCATACACCCATACATACCTACATACATGACATACATTACATACATACATACACCCACATGCATGCATGCATATATTACATATGTACGTTGCATACATTACAGCACGTACGTGTGTACGTACATACGTACATACATTACATACATACATACATACATAAATACATACATACATACATACATACATTACATTCATACATACATACATTACATACATATACTGCATTACATTACATTACACTACACTACACTACACTACATACATACATACACACATACACACATACATACCCTACATTACATTGCATTACATTACATTACTTTACATTGCACTACATTGCATTACATTACATTGCATGACATTACAATACATTACAATACAATACAATACATGCATTACAATACATTACAATACATTACACTAAATAAGGATACATTATTACATTCCATACATACATTACATACATACATACATACATGCATACATACATACATACATTACATACATACATACACACACATACACACACATACATACATACATGCTCACATACATACATACATACATACGTACATACGTTACATACATACAGACATACATACATGCATACATACATACATTACATACATACATACATTCATTACATACATGCATACATACATGCATGCATACATACATACATACGTACATTACATTTCATTTCATTTCATTTCATTGCATACATACCTACAAGACAAGACAAGACAAAACAAGACATGCCATACATGCATACACACAGTACATACATACATACATACATGCATACATACATACATACATACATTACTTACATACATACATATATACATACATACATTACATACATTACATATCTACATACATACATGCACACATACATACATACATACACACATGCATTACATACATACATTACCTTAGATCAGATTACATTACATTACATTACACTGCACTACACTACATTACATACATACATGCATACATACACACATACATTACATTACATTACATTACATTACATTACATTGCATTACATTACATTACAATACAACACATTACATTACATACAAACATACACACATGTGAATTACATTACTTACATACATACATACATACATACATTACAGTTCATTACATTACATTACAATACAATAAATTACCTTACATACATACATAGTTGCCTTTCCTTACATTGTATTACATTCACTACATGTCGACATACATACATACATACAGACATACATACATACATACAATACATACCATACATACCATACATACCAAACATTCAATACATACAATACATACAAAACATTACAATACATTACAATACATTACAAAACATTACAAACCATTACAACACATTACAATACATTACAATACATTACACTAAATTAGGATACATTATTACATTCCATACATACATTACATACATACATACATACATACATACATACATTACATTACATTACATTGCATTGCATTGCAGTGCATTACATTACATTACATTCATACACACATTACGTACATACATACATACATTGCTTACATACATACATGCATACGTACATACATACATACATTCATACATACATGCGCTACCTACATACATACTTCCACGACATTACATTCCATTGCGTTGCATCACATTACACACATACATTACATGACATTACATGCCATTACATTACATTACATTACATTCGTACATACATTACATACATACACACATACATACATTGCTTACATACATACATACATGCATACACACATTACATACATACATACATTACATTACATTACATTACCTTGCATTGCATTACATTGCATTGCATTACATTACATTCATACATACATTACATACATACATACATACATATATACATACATACATACATACATATATACATACATACATTACATTACATTACATTACATTTCCTTACATTACATTACATTACAAACATACATACATACATACATACTTACATTACATACATACATACATACAAACATACATACATACACACATACACACATACAAACACACACATACATTACATACATACTTACATTACATAGACACACATACATACATACATACATTACATACATACATACATACATACATACAGTGCATACATACATACATGCGTTACAGCACACGACACTACACTACGCTACGCTACACTACACTACACTACACTACACACTACACTACACTACACACTACACTACATTACATTACATTACATACATACACCAGCATGAAAATATTCGAATTGCACCCCATATCACAAAACATGCACACAAACATATACATATACATATTATACATACAGACGTAGGAACACAAGAAGGCAAGCACCAGGCAAGCAATCAAAAAAGAAGGCGCACGGACAGGCACATAGGCAGGAGAGAAAAAAAGAGGCAAGCAGTCACACAGGAAGGCAAGCTAACAAACGGGCAGGCAGGCAGGCAGGCAGGCAGGCAGGCAGCTAGGACCTAGGAAGACAAAAGGCCAGCCGGCAACGGCCCAAAATAGGGGAGGGGTCGTGCCCGGGCGGGAGGGGATCACAGACACGGGAATCCCTCGTCCCTCCGTCTCCGCATCATCCAAACCGGCGCAAACGTGCAAAACCCAGAAACCGAAAACAGCCCGAAGTAAGGCCGGGGCGGTACCTGGGAGCACTGCTCGGGTTGGACAAAAAACACAGAAAAACACCTCCGGGAGCCTTCAAAACGAAAAAGCTTTAACAAAAATGACTGCGGCAACTCACTTTACGGGGGTTGTCCCCGGGGGGTCGGGAGTTATAGCCACCCGGGGGCTATGTAAAAACCAAATGCATCACCAGCGCACCAACATCATCATCACCCCCATCAGACCCCCCTGCCAGAACAGAGGAGAACATAAGAGACGGTTTCAAGCCCTGCACACGCATACGCGGATCCTCGAGTCAATCCCCTCGGATCGCATGCTCAGGGCATGAGACTGTCTCTTCTGTTCTCCCCTCTTCTAGCAAATGAAGGTCAACCTCAGAACAACACTCCCTTCGCACGGCGCCTGAAGTACGACGGCGCGCTCTCGATTTCTGCGTCCTCCTCCACCGCGTGCTTTGCCCGGTGGCTGTGCCAGTTTCCGCTTGAAGCGGCTGCAGGGGTCCTATCCCAATACGCCGGCAGGCCGGCAGACAGACGCGCAAGCAAGAAAGCACGCGGACAAGCCGTCGCCCGGGCAGGAAGCAAGCGAGCAAACAAGAAAATAGGCAGGGCAGGCAGGCAGGACAGCACGCAGGCAGGCAACAGGCGAGCAGACGAGCAGAACAAGAAGACCTACAAACAGACAAGCAAGCAAAAAAGCAGGCGCGCAGACAGGCACCAGGCAGGGGAAAGAAAAGCAGACAAGCAGCCACACAGGAAGGCAAGCTAACAAACAAGCAAGTAGGCAAGGAAGCAAGCACGCAGAGATGCAGGAAGGCAAGCTAACAAGCAAGCAAGTAGGCAAGGAAGAAAGCACGCAGAGACGCAGGAATGCAAGCTAACAAACAAGCAAGTAGGCAAGGAAGCAAGCACGCAGAGATGCAGGAAGGCAAGCTAACGGACAAACAAGTAGGCAAGCAAGCAGGCACGCAGAGATGCAGGAAGGCAAGCTAACGGACAAAGAAGTAGGCAAGCAAGCAGGCACGCAGATAAACAGCCAAGACAACAAGCAGCACACGAACGCAGGACAGCAAGCAAACAAACAAGCAAGCAGGCACGCAGGCAAGCAGCCAAGAAAACAAGCAGCATGCAAACCAGGATGCACGAGGACGCCAAAAAAACAAAAAACAAAAAAACGGAAGGCGGGCAGGCAGGCAGGTCGGCAGGCAGGCAGGTCGGCAGGCAGGCAGGCGGGAGGGGTCGTGCCCGGGAGCACCAACAAGAATCAGCAAAACAGGCAAATAGCACAAAAAGCGGCATCACAGACACAAGAACCCCTCATCCCCGCGTCTCCACATCATCCAAACTGGGTGGAAGGGGGTCGGGTGGCGAGTCGTGATCTTGAAGGCGGGTGGCGAGTCTTGACACTGGGCTGGTGTCGGGTGGCGAGTTGTGATCTTGACGCACGGCGGCTATGATGTCTGACTCTCCGTGCTGTGATGTCTGACTCTTCGCGCGGTGATGTCTGACTCTTTGCGCGGTGATGTCTGACATTTGAGTGTCTGACTTTCTGGTTGGATGTCTGAATTTCTCTTCGCTGATACTCCCATACCCGTGCCATGCCACCCTTCTCCGAGAAGTTCATGGCAAGTACCTTCTTGATAAATTCTGATACGCAGGCCTCGCAATGGGATCGGGACAAGCGCGACGGCAATGCTTGCCTCACATATGCAACGTATAGGTATCAAATGAGATCCGGTCGGTGCCTCCTTTGCATCGGGATCCGTCAAATCGACCCTTGGTGCATCCTCCTCTGAGAGCACGGTGAAGGGCGGGGTGGGGGCACCCACTGCCTCACCTGGCTACATTCAAATATTCAGAATCTGCACCGAGAAAAGCAGACTTCAATGGGGCAAGTACAAAAAGATTAGCTGGCGCCACCGAAAATTCAACAGCTGGAAAAAACAAAGTGTTGGAATCCGAGCGGCAAATGCGCTTGAAGCCAATCTTCTCCAAGGTGGTGGAAGCTTTGGGCTCGGTGCCCGGCCAAACGAGCCCAAGGGCCTCCACACCCACTGCGGCCTCCGCAGACTCCGCGAAGGCCGACCAGCCCGGCATGAAAACCACCTGCCAAGAGACATCAATGCGGACGCTCAAACAAGCGCACGAGACAAAAAGAACTCCACAACAAGCTGCCTGCAGTTGCCTGCGAGTTACCTGCACGTTTTCGGGCATCAGCTGACAGAGCGTGTTTTGACGGTTTGCCTGCCGCAGTTCAGTTGTCATTGCCCTGTCACAAGGTCGTGTTCGAAAACTGCCTGGAGCAAAGTTTGCAGAATGATCTTCCATCTGCTTAAGCGAGTGGAATCCACAAATTCCCTGGTAAACAAATCTGACATACAAAGGATTCGGCTTACATGGCCGACTCTAATCATCTGTCCGTGAGCAAATAATGCAGCTGAACTCTGCCCAGACTCAGGACACATGAAACACATGGAGTACGAGCGTTACATGAATAGAGTTCAAGGTGTAAGCAATCGGGTCGGTCAATGACTTCAACCAATCGGTCAATCGGCAGACCAATCTGGCATTGCACCGCAGGCACGACCCAACGGCAAACGACCCAACTGCCTGCCGTGCAGCTCGGTGCCGGCTAAGCTCGTGATCCTTCCGTGTGGGGCCCTTCGTTAGTCGGTTTTAGCTGACGCCCCTTGGATAAGCCATTTCTGCGAGGGGGAAACAAAAACTCAATTGGCTTATCCAAGGCATTCCATGTGCAAAGTCCTGTGTGCAAAGAAAATCCAGGCGCTCTTTGAAGTGGTCCAGGTCGCCCCACGTCTTCGGTTTGACATAGAGGGCAGCATTCATTCCGGGCAGCCTTTGCTTTCCCTCCTGCCAAATATTCAAGAATCATGCGTTCAACAAGGTTACAACCTTCGACATCTACGTGTGGCAATGGATTCCGGACATGCTAACACGCGTAGGTTCCATGCCTCCAAAGTCTGGATGACGCGCACATTGCTGCCCCACACGGCACGAATGTCGGCGAGCACAGAGTTGGTAGCATGCTTCGATTGGTTGTAGATGATCACCTTGAGCACACGCGTCCAAGCACGCAAGCAATCAATTTGCACATCCAAATACAGCCAAGCGGCAGTTGGGAACGGAGGCTCCGGTGCCAACGGTGCAGAAATGTCTCCTTTGCACCGCTGCTGGACAACCTGCATTCGGATGCATGTCATGTTGACTGCCCAGAATCGGGAAAGTGCAAGAATCCCGCGAAACGAGTGTCGGAGCCTGGAAGCGCGGAGCCACGCTTCGCAAAGGGGCTGCGCCTGGAGGCAACTGACACAACGAAGAATGCAACGGGCCAAGGGACGCACGGAGCACTCGAGCTCGACCAGCTAAACACTGAGAAACGCGTCGAGATAGCTTCGACAGCATGCCTTGGTCGATTCGCTGAGCACATTGCAATGCACGTAATGCCGCGTTGACAAATTGCAAGACTGCTCAGAATCTATCTATGCCTGATGGAAAAAGCTGATCCTGCCAAGAAGCTTCGCGCAAACAAAGGATGGCTCAGCGCATCAGGTATTCAAGCAAAGCTGAGCAAAATGGCAGCGAGATGGCATTCCTCTGCCGTATCATCGGCATTATCACTGGCACTCAAAGCACAGCGCAAGACAAAGCAGAACATGTTGCATTGTGGCTTCACCCGGGCTTTGGGCTGCTGTGCAAGGAGCGATTGAGAGCCGGAGAACCCGAGGAACGAAGGATCATGCGGGATTTGGAACAGCAGAAACACAAACATCGAAACTGGTGCAAGCAAGTGGCAAAGCGCATGCGCTTTGCCACTGGGAATCCAACCAGTTGAAGCATTGCTGTGCTCCCTGCACCGAGGCTCTGTGTGGCTTTCCGCATTTGACTCTCTCTCGCGCTCCGTCAAAACTTGAAGGACACGACAGCGAATTCATGGCTCGCAAACTGATCGCCGCTGTCGCGCTCATCGCTCTGCCCTTGCCTGCTCGCTCTCTGCTCTCCTCTGTGCCGCGGATCATTGCGGCCAGGCCAGTGGCAGGCTCCTAAAAACTCCCTTTGAATCAAACCGGGATCTACACATTGCACTTCACAGCTCTGAGTTGCTGCTCCGAACTCTTGGACAAGCACGCATAACACATGATCTGGGAGCAAAAACTGGAAAGAAAGCGCAAACGAGCCAAACTTCAAGCACGATGATGTGAATAGGAGTTGAACTATGAAGAAACTGTTTTGGGATGGCGCACCATGCCGCCCACCCACGCAATGGACCCAGGCACCCATGGTTCGCTCGAGCTGCTCAGGCAACAGAAAGCCATTCGGAGGCAAGTGCCTGGCGCAAGCGGTTCTACTACTCAACCATGCCTAGACTTGAAGTCTAGGTCATGGAATGCGTGACACACCCTGGCCTGAGAGCGTCGAGGACTTTCCCCGCAAGCTCCCCGTGTCATTGTCAAATGTGTTCACTGTGTTGAACACCGCGGACTCAGATGCGTTGAGCGGGTCTGTGTTAGCTCCTTGCATTCAGGACAAAAGCTGCGACCTCCAGCTATATCTGACCCACACAGTTGCAGTTGGCTGGATTCTGCTGGCACATTGCTACCCAGCCCACCTTTGGATCCTTCCCCCCAGGACCGATGCAATAAGATGCAGAGATTTTAAAAAAATAATAAAAAGAAGATAAAACAGATATGCGAAAGCCTTCTTAAGAATTTGAGTTGCGTTTTTCGAAAGCCCGGCTTCTGAGCTGTTCCTAAAATCGACCGAACTGATTGTTGACAGTGGGCAAGAACTCAAATTCTTAAGCAAAGCGTCATTCCACGTAGCAAGCTGTAAGTCGTAGCATTGAACAAGACGGCGGATAGCCTAGTCTAGTGTGCTGAGAGCAGCATGTGGCCACACCTTGCCATCTCTTCTCAACTTTTGCTCACTTATATTAGAAGTTGAACACCACACAGAGGGGCGAGGGATTAAAGGAAAGATGGCAAATACTCGTCGACTGCTCTAAAGGAAAGATTACGGAATCCAGCTTTGGCTTCAGCAGGCCGGTGTGTCCCACTTGTGAAAGGCACGTTAGTGGCTCTCACGCCCGTCCTGAAGCTCAGATGTTCACGTTGGATTTGCCAACAGGCCGAAAGCTCACCCTGTGCAGTTGGTGCTTATCTCCGGCCAAGACTTTGCAGTATGCGCTGCGGTTGCCCGGTGTCACGTCACAAGCTCGTCAGCTGCAGCTTCTCGCAAAATGACGGAAGAGACCGCATTCTTCATCATAACAGACCAGGCCGGCACATCACATTTTGTGTCCTTAGGCTCGAGTATACCTCTACACGAGTTGCAAACTGATGTGTTCATGTAGGATAGGCTAGTAACCTAGGCGGAAAATATTGCACTGACCTTTGACTGAGCGTGAAGCCCTGAAGCTTAGACTAAAGCAAGGATCCGGAAATGCTCCATGGGTGCGCGCCCGATCCCGAGCCACTTGCGAAGGCTCCAGGGTGGAAAAGCTCATTGGAATCTCCTGGCACTGTTTGCCTCTATCTCCACAAGACTCGAGAGAGCGTAAGTCAATTTGCCCCAGATGTGCAAAGCGTATCAAAAGCTTTTTCCGAGCCTTGGCCTCTGTGAGGAGCTGCACTGGGTGCGGCAAAAAGGGATACTGACGCATAAAGGCCAGCACTGTGCGCCGCAGGTGAACACCTGATGGGCGCGCATGAGTCAGTTGCAACAGGCTTACTCAAATGGCTCATGCCGACGTCTCAAAGAATTTTGGCTGCACAAAGAACCTCACTCGCGAGCCTTCATCATCAAAAGTAGCTTCAAAGCTCCAATGCAGCAAAGGTCGAAGAAGACTAAGGTCCTTCCGGTGTTCCCAATGCAAAATTGCTCGGCAAGGCGTGCGTCCAATCCGCGGTCCTGTTGCAGCACGCCCAATCCCACGGAGCACAGGGTGGAGACCACTGTGCTGCGACTTCCAGCGCTGAGGCGCAGCTGCGGCTGCAGTAAAACAGCCATCAGTGAGCCGAAGGAGCTGTCTGCCTGATCCTTGCAGAGAGAAAAAAAGGAAAAAAACAAGACAGGACCATAGGACCATAGGACCCTATACTCGTTTCTGCCGCTGTGCCATCATACCTGCAAACACCGTTCACCGGTCGGACATCTCCCATTTGGGTGTGGGGAGAACGCGATCTGACGTAAGACCCGCGCCTCTTGCCCCGGAAAAGCAGCAGGCCCTAGATTTGCGGCCAAGTCCTTGGGCCATTCTGAGCGCTTCGCGCATTTATCAAGCATTTATCAAGCATTTGTCCAGCATTGCAAGTCGCTCAACCAAGGATCCAAAAGTCTCTGCACCGCCGTCTCTGCGAAGCTCCCGCGATCCTGCAGGTCGCCAGGGCTCCATGTGATGGCCTGCGGCACAGAATTATTTGAGATGGATGTCGCAATCCGAACCCGTTTGCGCCATTTGCGCCTGATACCCGTTTGCCGCAAAGACCGCCATTGACTCCAGGGCAGCACAAGCACGACTACGAACCAGGCACCTGCCGTACCACATCACAAGCTGCCCGCAATGCCACTGCAAGTGGCGCGCCTTCGCATGGAGCTGCCTGCCCAGATTAAGAGAAGCTTCAGAGTACTGTCGACAATGGGCAAGGTCACGCCAGCCGGAACCTCTCGTAACACACAACTTTGCAACGCACAATTTGGGCTTGCACTTTCAAGCTCGCCCCTCCCGTCACATCTCAACCCGCCTGGTCCATGTCTGCAAGGTGCCAGAAGCGCAGCACCGAGCGGCAAAGCTGCTCCTGCAGAAGACTCGGCACCGAGCCTTGGCTAAGCAGCCCAGGGCTCTAGCTCAAGACTTGGGTTTGAACTTGCTGGGCCATCTGACTGCAGCCAAGCTTCAGTACGGATCCTTAGCTGGCCAAATACGCTCAGGTGTATCCCCAACAGCAACACGCCCTGTGCTTGAACCTTTCACCCAGCCTGCGCCAGACCACCCCACAACCCGGAACCTTTGCTTGAACCGTATGACCACCAGAACCTGAGGAACCATTGCTTGAACCTTGCACCTGGCCTGCACCAGAGCTCCCCCGACCCACCCCCAAACCTTATCTGGGCTGAGGTTTGGGAAAAATACAGTTTTAGGGTTCTACAGGATTATTGCTTGCTTCGTCAGTTCCCATGCCTGCCAGCTTAAAACAACCGACTTGTGTTGGAATCAGAGCAGTGGGTCCCCATGCAGCACCCACCCTAAGTCCCAGCTTCTGATCCAGTGTCATGTAGCGCCAGGTGCAGCTGAACTAGCGGAGCGAATGACTTGGGCAGGTCCAAGTATTTGCCTGGCCTAGCGTGTGCCAACAAACCCCTGCGAGATGCTGCGGGCAGATTATTCAGCACTGCCTCATGGCACATGGGCACTTGGGACCAGAAGCATAGTCCACCTCAGCTTGCTCGTTCACCCCTGGAAACATGTTCTCGCATGTCTTGCTTTGCTCAAACCAACCTGAGCGGCTGAAAATGCAGGCTTCTGGCATTGAACTCCTGCGGAGTCTTTTGGACGAGGTCCAAGCCCAACTCGGCAAATTCTCGACCATGAGCGGGGAAAGCGCAAAGCATGAGAAAGCCTTGGAGAATGTCCAGTTCATGCTGGAAGATCATCTCTGGTGTGCCGCACACGCTTAGTCAGAATACTTGGATTACATTCTGCTGCAAATTTCCAGCTTGTCTCGTGCAACAACCTTGACATGCAAAATCACCCTGTCTGAGGAGGCAGCACATATGCGTTCCATGAATGCCTTAGAGTTCACCAGCATCACGGCGACGTCGGGCTCTGATGAGCTGACCAGCAACAAAGACAAAGCCTGCGCCACTCCGCTCGCAAAAATGGTCTGCGCTAAACTTGAACTGTGAACTGTGAGTGAAGGACACCTGCCAGTGCTGCTTCTGCAGCTGCCGAAGAAGCCATTCTGCATCCCTGGCATTCTGGTAGGGCTCATCGAGTCCTCTTGTGCCGAAGTATGTTGCTCTTGCACGTGCAGCTCGCATACATGTGTAATACATATCATAACCATACATATATATATATATATACATATATATACATACATACATTATGTGTGCCAGGGAGTCTTGCAATACTCAATGAGTGCGAAGCTTCAGAACTGCTCAGTCCTGTCGATCGCTTGGACGTCGACGCACTTGAGTACTTGGACGACGCATAGGAGTACTTAGAAGTCGACGCGTTCTCATCAGCTGCAGCCTCAGATGAGCAGAACACGCGCGCTCTGGCCCTCGTGCTGTCTTTGTGTCCAAGGTTCTGATCGTCCTTCAACGCTCCGCTCTTCCGTCTGGTAGCTGCTGAGGCTTTGCTCAGACTGTCGGCGACTTCCACGAGAATGGTTCTCTCCGCCTCCCTGCGCGATCCAGGAATTGCGGGGCACTGTCTAGCGAACACAAGCAAGAGATAGCAAAGGCAGGGCAAGCCTGACTGGCGCTCTCGTCAGTGAAGAAACTGGTGTACATTGATTCCGCCTCCCTCACCGAGTGGCTTGGCAAGCGGCTTGGCTGCTCCTCCGCCACCTCCGCCACCTCCGCCACCTCCGCCACCTCCTCAACATCTGCCACTTCCTGCATACGACGCAACACGACGCACAAGAAAGAAACACACAGATGCACAGTGCGTCGCAAGTCATCGGGCTGGAGCTCAATCTTCTGAGCCAAGGTCTTGACAAACTCCAAACTCGAGCAAACATATCCTGCCTCGCTGCTTTCATTGGTAAAGAAGCTCGTGTACATGCTGACCTTTCAAGCGTTCATTCAGTCATTCAAACGGAAAAAAACAGGAGGACTAGTCTGACAGTCGTTGAACTGCTCACTCCAATCAATTTCTTCTTTTGCTGTGCCCACACTGCACTCATTCCTTGAACCTTTGGAAGTGGTGCTAGTCTCAAGGCGGCCACGGCATCGCTGGCCTTTGCTCCCTATATCAACTGCTCACTGCTTGAAGATGCTTTCTCGACAGCTGGCCTTTGGCTCTTGACGGCTGTAGCGGCGCTGCTGCTGAGCATCTGGTGGCCCACCTTTGCATGAGCCAAGGAAATCAAAAGCTATGGCAAGTCTTTGCGAAACTGCCGATTCGGGCCTGACTGTACTTCACTGTCCCACTCCTCCTCACTTGATGGTGGCGTTTCGTCCGTGCTTGCCTCACTTGGCTCAATTGGCGAGTCCTCAGCGCACAAGCCCATGCCACTGATGCAATACTCAGGGACTCAGGGAAAGGCCAAACTCAAACATGTGAGGAGTTGAGTTGTGGCATCTTGTGGTGTCTTGGTGCATGCGGAGGTCACGCTCTTCAGAGCTTGAATCAGAGCTTGTGTCAGAATCCTTCTGTACCTCTCGGAGTCAGACTTCCCCGGCACTGGGCCCAGCTTGCAAAGCACTTGACTCACCTTGCGATTTCTTCGTGCAATGCACTTCATCGGGGAAGTTCCCTTCGATCTCGGCGCCTGCTTCGCCTTTGGCATCCTTGGGATCTTCGCCTGCCACGGCTCTGCACTGCACCTGGCCAGCTCTCATGCAGCAAGAAGAGACAAGAGAAGGGACAAGAGAAGGGACAAGAGAAGAGAAGAGAAGAGGAGAAGAAGACAAGCAAAAGGGGCGCACCAAAGCCACCACTTCTCCAGGCCCCCAAGGCGGCGCAAGTGGGGAGGCTCCAATTGCTGCAGCAGTCCATGCATCAGAATGCCTTGTGGCAAGCGGACAAACGAGTCCAAAACATCACAAACACAAGGCGAGGAGCTGCTACGCAGGCTGGAGCGCTGTGCCACCAGAAGTCTCACAAGAACCTCAGATGTCTTTATCTTGTTTTATCTCCAGGCACATGCAATGAGGCGAGCAATGACCTCTGAACCGAGGCTCCGTGAGCAACGGCTCTGCTAGCGCCCAATCTCTGTCAAGGCCTAACATGCCAAGCCAAATGCACAGCAATGCTGCCGGACTTCATCCAACACCGTCCAAGCCTCTTTGCTCAAGGAATTGCCCCAGGGCATCTGCCAGCTGCGGACTGAAGCCAAGGACAAAAGTGCCAGCAGCTAGCAGCGTCTCCTGTCAACGGCTCCGACCAGGAGCAATTTGCAAGGAAAGCACCAGGAGCAATTTGCAAGTGACTCCGCTTCTGCTCTGGATTGTTGCAGCATTGTCCGAAGTAGCAGCCCTTGATGGTAACGTCGTTCCACGTCGACGTAGATGCCTTCTGGATCACCGCCAAGAAGCTTGATGCTCGTTGCTGCTCCTCCGTGGCGACGCTAACAGGCCTCTTCGTCAGATTCCGCCGACGGTGCGATAGACCTCGGTGTGGTTGCCGTTGTCGCCGTAGTGGTGTGTACCCTTCACCATTGCGGAAGTAGAAGGTCAGGTTCTTCGATGGCCTTGGCTCTGGGCGATGTAGATGTGGCCTTCCAGTCGACCTTCTTGAACGACAGCAGGTCTGCGCTCTTGCCCTGCTCCTTGCCCATGTCGTAGTACTCAGTGTTGGAGAAAGTTACCGGACGCGGCGGCAAGTCCTTCTTTGGCGCGCCTCATCTGATTCTCCTTTCTCTCACGCGCGTGTCCGCTGAAATAGCGTTGTTTGTTTGCCAAGGCGTTTTCCATATCCTCCTTTGTCAGAGGGTCACCATTTTCCACAAGCTTTGCCTTTGCCCTTCTTGCCCTTTCGGAACTTGCCATAGGGCTTGCCCTTGCAGTAGTCGCTGCCAGCTCCTTTTGATCCCCTGCCTTGTCTGGATACTGGGCAATCAGCGGCCATGCGCCATTTGCTGCCACACACATGACATCCGCTGCCGACGACACCTTTACCTTTGCCGTAGTAGGCGCTGTCCTCCTCCAGGTCTTCATCACCATAGTCTGCTCCATGATGTTCATCATTCGTCTCGCGGATGGTGTCCCCGTAGTAGTCTCAGTCATCGTGCTCCTCGTCATACTGCTTGTAGTAGTCCTCGTAGGACATATCGGTCTCCGTCCATGAACTATCGTTCCATGACCTCGGAAAGCTCATCCGCACGGTCCTCATCGTTCTCATAGAAGACATCACCTCCAGAAGCCTTCTCCGTCCGATGAGACAACCGGAGAGCGAGGGTGCGGATGTCGTTGAAGCGAGTGAGGTCTCCATGGACTTGTAGTCGGAGATCATCTTATCTTGATGCCGTTGTGGAAGCATTGACTGCTTCAACCACAGGTACGTCTTTGCGACGTTGTTCATCTCCAAATTTGCCTGCACGTGCGCCTCTTCGTACTCCACATCACATTCTTGGAGTCCTTGATTCTGCGGCCTCCAGTTGTCAAAGAAACTCTCCAAGCTGCGGGTCGTCTGGATCTTCTCCGACTCACCAAAGGCGTCCCTCAACGCGTTGCAAAGGGCCTGCTCGCCCGACGGGGTGGCCTGAGCCGGACCAAGGCAGCGTCGCCCGGATCGACGTTCGCCCGACCAACCGGCCTGCCATCATTGGCCCGACGACCTCGTCGGGACAGTCGCAGATCCGGTACCAGAGCTTCAGCTTCGCGAAGTAGAGCTTGAGGGGGCACTTGTCCCCATCCTGGGGGAACTTCCTTGCGGAACTCTTCCAAGGGGATGCCGCCGCCTGAGCTCGGCTGAGCCATAGCCGGAGCCGCGCGCGGGACCGCCCCGCAGCCTCCTCGTCTGGTCACCGGAGAGGCCTCCGAGCCAGACCGCCGCTGCCCTTCGTGGTGATCTTGCCGTGGGTCACCTCAATCGCGTTGCCTTCCTTCTCGATGAAGGAGATCCTTGCCGAAGATCGGCAGGTTGCGGCCGAAATGGCGCGAGGTCGCTAGCCTGCTAGAGCACAGTGGCTCCGCTACCAGAGTTGCCAGAACCTTGTTTTCCTAAGCTGACTCAAGCCGGCTTCAGCGGTCGATGTGATGTGATACAATTTGACTAAGTCTGTGTCTGCCTACACTCCGCACCGAGCCAATCAGTGCGTCTCCTATTTCTATTCAAATACAAGCAAACAGATTGGCCAGGCAGCTCGCCTCACTGTGCTCATCATCTCAACCACAAAAGCGACGCGCCCCCACTCCTCTTGATTTGCCTCAGTTTCCCTTTGGAATGGTGGAGGAGGACCTAGTCGAAGGAGGGCTGATGCCATACCTATCAGAGAATGCCCAAACCTCATTCCTTCCCGTTTCCCGTGTTCTGCGATGGACAGAGACAGAGCAGCCAAACCTAAGGGCTGGGCCAGAAAGCAGAGACCACGCATCTCGCAAGACCCGACTCTCCCAAAGGAGCACGACATTCAGCGGCACGGCCTGGGCCAAAGCACGAACAAAAAATGGCACCGAGCCTCCGCGTCACTTTGTGCCTCCACAGCTTCCACAGCATCATCTGGCAGTGGCATGTCTTGAGAACCATCTCGGTCATCTGCCTCGGCCACCTGCTCCGCGTCCTCCGCGTCCTCGCTCTCCTCTGCCTTGGGTTCCTCACTGTGCCCACTCCGTGCGTCATCGGTCTCTATGAGCGAGTCAATCTGCATCAAGGCTTGCTCGGATTTCCAGCCAGCCAAACCTGGTTGCGGCTAAAAGCATCGCTTCCACCGCAAAGCTCGATGGCAAAACAGAAACAAAACGAAACAAACATAAATTAAGAATAGTTTGATGTTGATGCATGTTGCTCCGCACCACTAGCTCGAAGCCACTGCAAAGGAGGTTCTTGATGTCGCTCTGCGCAGATGCCAAATCTCCTTGGTCTTAAAGAACTGATAAGGCAGAGATACAGAGTGTGTTGCACAGCTACGTGCAGGGGGCTCTCGCAAGTGTGTCAACCAAGCGCAACAAATATCACCGTCCCCACACTTGCCGAGACCACAAATAGCAAAGTAGAAACAGCACCACCAAGCCGCGGCCAAAGGTGGTATGGAGAGAAGCAAATCAACATGCCCTCAAGCAATTGCGCTGTTATACTGCTTCGTTCATGTTTTTGACCCAATGTCCTGGCTGCTCGCTCCGCAAACGAGATGCTGAGACCTACAAAGTGCAGAACAGACGTCGTCTTGAACCCACACAATCAATGGTCACTGCACATTCGCAAGCCTGCAACGGAGCTTGCGAAGAATACTGCTCAGCCAGCAGCCCCGAAACCTTATTCAACGCATTGATATCGTGCCATATGGCAATACTGCAAGTTGCAGGCAAGCAGCGAATGCATAAAGGGCGCTCGCTAGTGCCAACCTAAGCACAAAGCTGCAGTTCTCGCACTCAAAACAGGACTTCATGTTCGAGTCTGAGTAGCTCCTGCTGCAGTCCTTCCCTCTCCTCTTGCAGCTTTCCACGTTGACTCTGAAACCTTCAGGGCCAGCAATACCAAGGCAATCCAACGTCCAGTGCCTGTCAACGTGTCTCGCAAAGCTCTCAAACCTCTCAGCCTATCTCAACCTCAATGAGCCTAGCCTGTCACACGCGTCAAAAAGGCGTGAAAACGCGAAAAAGCGAAAAGCCATTGGTGCCTGGCAAAGCGCCGTAGCAGCTGTGCCAGGCGCCTTGCGCAGCGGCGCAGAGGCTCCGGCAGAGGCGCCTGGTGCAGCGCGCGGCCACTGCAGCGCAGCAGGCGCTCCTAGGCAACCGCATCTCTAAATTCATACAATGCATTGGAGTAGAGTGTCTCTACATGTAATATATTATATATAGATATATAGACAATAAATTATATAGACATAATATCTTGAAGACAGCTGTCATGCACCAGTAGCCGACCCTTGGTCCATTTGTCTGGCTGTTCAAGGAAGATTGCCTTGCTTCGGGCTTGTTGAACATGGGGCGGATCAAAGCCCTGCTAGCAAACGGGCGCAAGGCGCTGAAAAAGCTTGAGATGGTGTGCTAGCAAGCACAGGCATGATAAGCACGGACGTGCCTAAGCTATGCCAGCTGAAGCCGAGTCACGGCCCAGTGAGACCAGCCGTTCAGCGCTGTGACTTCATTGATCAGCAGCGGCACCAATGCCTTCCAGCACTTGGAATTGCAAATGGAGATGGTATGCCATAAATAAGTCAGCAGGGTCCTGCGCATTGACACCATCGTATCACTTCAAGGCCTCCGTAGGATTCGATGTTGTAATCTCAAAAGGGATAGCGTTGTCAGCCCTGGTTTGCTCTCTTTTAGCATTTATTTTTCCACCGGGAGCAAGAGTCCCACCCAGTGCCTGCGCGACTGGCCCTCTCAGTGGCGCAGCTTCCATGAGACTCAGAAGGTGCGGCTGGAGTTCTGGAACAGACCAATGAGCCATGAGCATCGGCAAGAGCTGATCCTTGAAACAGAAGCACTTGTTGGGAATCGCTCCTACAGAAATGATTGTCGACTGCAAGCGAGGTGCCGCTTCCTTCACGCTACCAGGGTAAGGTGCCAAATGCAGCGCTGCGCCACTAGCCTCACAAAAAAAGAAGCCAACAAAAATCGGATAACTATGTGACAAATGTCAGGAAATGTCTAGAAATGGCACAAAAGGTTCGGTGAGTTGCGCTATCAGGGAGAGGCGCGCGGCTCTCGGGCCCCAGCCTGGATGGCCAAGTAGATGAGGCCTCGCCGGTCTTGGAAGCTATGCGATGCTCCATCTGCTCCAAGTCTGCTCATTGCTCATTTGCTCTCTATTTGTCTCTTTGTCTCTTTGTTTCTTTGTCTCTTTTTCTTGTTTCTTCCAAGTGGCTCTTTTGGTCGTCGTCGGAAAGGTCCTGCGGCTTCCACGTGAGTCGTGATGAAGCACAAGCTGCAGGCCTTGCTGATGGCCGCCGCTAGGACGCGGACGCTGGCGGCGCCGTCCGCGTGCAGCCTGGTTTTCAGCAGGCCGCGCAGCAGCGCTCCGTGGGTGACAGCACCGTTAGCACCTAGGAAATGAAGCAAAAGAGCAAAGCGCAAGTAAGCACACGGAAGCACACGGAAGCACACGGAAGCACACGGAAGCACACGGAAGCACACGGAAGCACACGGAGAACTCAGGCACCAAATGCAAATGCCTCAAACGCCACAAGCGCAACCTCCACTGCCAGCTCCCGCCTTCTGCTTCTCGCAAGATGCCCGTCCAAACACGCAGAAGTGCACAACACTGCGCCGTCTGGGCTTGCTTGGCGTAGAACTGATTGGACGCATCGCAAGAAGGGAAGTCCTGTGAGTGTACAGTCAGCATGACCAATGACCAATGCCTGGCCCACAGTCCTGCCAGTTCCACTCGTAGGCAAAGTTTAGAAGAGCCGAGTGCACCGCACAGACCACGCCCGCCGCAGCCACCCCTGCATTCACGTCTTGACCTTCGAGGCCGGGCCCGGGTGCCCAAATTTGCCGAATGATGGGCCGGGCCCAAATTTGCAAACTCTCGATTTCAGTCGAGCCTGCAAGCAGCTTGGTCAGCAAGCCCAGGTTCACCAGCCGATGCACCACCCCAAGGGCATGTAGCCTGCAGAGAGCGCGCTCAACTCTTTGGTGCTCTCTTCGGATGCAAATCGGGTTCTGTGCTTAACCGGGTTTTGGCTAACACTTGTTTTTTTGCAACCAGGGAATGTTAGACAGATCGCTGACAGGCTGGCCCAGATCTGAAGCGCGACGCCGCTCAGTTCACGCGACTCCCCGCCTCACCTCTAAACAGTGGGCCTGCACTGAAGCAGACTCTAAGGAGGAGTCTATCCTGAAGAGTCCAAAAGGCCAGGAGTGTGTGGGTGTGCAGCAAGCAGCCATGTTTAGCCAAGCAACGCCAGTGCCAGATGTCGCAAATTGGCGGCCTCTCGACAAAATTCAGCCTGAGTACAGAAAGAAACAGAGTAGCTGTTAAGTTCAGACCCTTCGTTATGCTGGCAGATAGTGCCAAACCTACGGCGAGTGCATGGGCCAGACAAGTAGCTGCCAGCACTGCGTTCTTCACAAGACGAGCAACAACCTGGCCAACAAAGTCTGCGCCACACCAAGTCTGCCTGCTCCGAGCGCCTGCCAGCAGAAGGCGGACTGCTGTCGTGTTGCTGGCCCGGGCAAGCGGTGCACCAGCTCTGCCAAGTCCAGAATCCCTGCGAAGAAGTCCAGCTTATCCTGCGCATGGGCATGTGTCGCACGTGCGTGCGCTCTCTTGGCAACGTGATCAGCTTGTGTCTCGCCGTTGCCTGGACCTGGGGATTGCCAGTCTCCTTCTCACTCCCGAAGCTCTCGCCTTCCGGGACTCCTACAGTTGAACATGCCGCTCGTATGACGATGCCGAGCATGCATAAAAGGTGGACGCGAACGAACATTTGCAATCAGCTAAAGCCAGGCATCCAAAGGGGTCACGGCTCACCGCACTGACGAAGGATGCTTGTGAGCCATCTGCTCTCTCCTGTGTTTGCTTCGAGATTGCGTTCATCTCTGCATCTAAACGTTGAGCAAAAGCACGGCAAACACATTTCTGGACTGCAACAATGAGCAGGTCTCCTCCTTCGCAGGAGCCTTTGATGTCGCATCCTCTTTCTCACTGGGGCCTTCTCTGCTTGGGCTTGTCCTGCGGCTGTGACTTTCCGCGTGGCCGTTGCTGTCACTACTGTCACCACTGTCACTGTGTTCACTGCGATCATCTCGGACGGGCGCTGCATCTTCGCTGGCCAGAACGGGTAGATTGCCAGGACCAGGAGTGCTCATTGGCAATTCCCGCGGACTGGCCCACACATGGACGTCATCAGAGTTGGCATCTGATCTTGCGGAGCTCAACTCTACGTTCCTATCTCGCAAGATCTTCATTGCCAGGGACTCCAGCAGCTCTTCATGACAAGTGAGCATCAGCATTAATTGCACCCAAGAGAAAGCTCCGTCCAAGGCAACTCGGATCAGATCCAAGCGGACCGTTGAATCACGAGGCTGGTGCCCAGTTTCTTCATCGCTGTCGCTGTCGCTCTCCTGAACCAGTACCGGCCTGCGTGAGTGAGAAGAATCAGCCCCCTGTCGCAAGAGCCGTTCCAGATCATCCACAGTGCGAGGCAATGCTCGGGCTAAACCGGCTGGCAAGAAACTGTGGTGCAATGCAATTTCTTTGTGCACTTCAAATCCGTCTGGAGCATAGCTCAGGAGTAAGCGAGGCACCACTGCATGATTAATAATACTGCCACCCCCTGCCTGCGCTTCCAGAATACTTAGCAATCCATGCTCTCTGGCAGAACGTCTGGATGAAGCAGTCCTCAAAAACGTAGATGCCAACTCCAAGAGTCGCTTCTCTTGTTCATAGCCTCCCAGGAAAATTGGCTCTCCCCGAAGTTCTGCCAGGCGATGTCGCAGCTCTGCGGTGATCTGTTGACTGGAAACCTTGCATCGGTATGGGAAAAACGGATAACGAGTCTGAGTCATTCTGAGTCCCTAATCTCAAACTGACTTCTTGAGTCCTGAGATGGCAAGCTGCCAATGGGGTTGCTCCACTCTTCTCTTGACCCTGTCCTGCTGTTGTGGCGGGGCGCGCAATCATAGAAAGTGTCTCCCCTCAAACAGGATTTGTGACTGTTTTGGGTCCGCAAATATAGAAAGTGTTTTCCCAGAGCGCCAAAATCTGAGATCTAAGATCTGGACATCTTCGGTTTTCAAAGCCCGACCCAGCCCGTCAAACCTCTACATATGGGCCGACCCCTCGCCACAGAGGGGAGGCGCATGGCACATGAGCATAACCGAAGTTTCATCATGAGCATCATCATCGTGGTCATCATCATGATGCTCATCATCCTCATGATCATCATCCTGGTGATCATCAAACTGGGTTGATCCTGCCAGTGGTTTGTCTCGTCGTCCTTATCTTCTTGATATGTGTTGGTGATGCTGCATAGATTTTGATGATGCTGATGATGACGCATCCCCAAAATCACCAGCAGGGATGATGATGATCATCACTACTCATCTCCAACATCAGTGATGACGATGATGATGACAGCCAACAGCTTTAAAGGCTTTCAAGATGTCCAGGCTTTGTATACATTTTACATAGGCCCTGTTGACCGATTGGTTCAGGATGGAGCCGGATGATGATGATGATGATGATGATTATTATTATTAAAATTATTATTATTATTATTATTATCATTATTCTTATTATGATGCATGATGATGATTATGATGATGCATGATGATGAGTCTTCATTACAAGCTACTGGCAGGATCAACCCAGTTTGATGATCACCATGATGATCACAAGGATGCCAATGATGATGATGATGATGATGTTGATGATGATGATGTTGATGATGATGATGAGCATCATGATGATGATGATGATGATGATGATGATGATGACGACAATCATCATCATCAGCATCATCATCAGCATCAGCATCATCATCATCATCATCATCATCATCGTCTCCTTACCTGCTTGATGTGCGTTTCAAATGTCACGTTAGACCCAGGGAATGCATAGTCATGATTGTCATGATGACTGCTGGTGATGCTGGGCATGACACACCGATGATTATCATATCACTGATGTTGGGGATGGGTAGTAATGATTATCATTCATCCCTGCTGGTAGTGTTGGGGATGCGTAATGATGATTCAATGTTTCATCATCATTTTCTATGGCATGAAGATGAGCGATGATGATCAAATCACTATGCATCCCCAGCATCACCAACAGTCATGATGATAACCAGAACTACACATCCCTGCATCTCAAGTCGGCTCTCACAGGACGCTTGAAACGCATATCGAGAAGGTAAGGACGACAATGATGATGATGGCAGACCGCAGCCACCCGGGTGCACTTTGCAAAAGCGCATGGGGCGGCCATGCCTCGCCGTGCTATGTCGCCCAAAGGGCCGCATTATAGGCTTTGCGATCCGACTGACGGTTGCTGCCGCTCACCCCTCGCATGCCTGCATGTCCAGCACCTTTGGTGCGTCCGCCCAGTGGAGCTCTTGGGGGAAGGCTCAAAGCACTGCAGATATGCAGCCCGGCTGCACCGCCGATGCTTTCTGGCGCCTGCATCCCTTGCATCGTCCGCAGTTGGGGCCAGCCTCCCCCAAGCCAGTCCTGATGCACCGTACTCATGTATGTGCGCAACGCACGCACTCACGCACGCACGCACGCAACCAACCAACCCACCAGCCATCCAGCCAGCCAGCCAGCCAGCCAGCCAGTTAGCCAGCTAGCCATCCGTCTCTCCGGCTTGTGCCTTGTGGATGTCACTGCATTTTGCAACCAAGTTGATTTTCGTTTTCCGGGCGGCGTAGATTCGGAGGCACTGTGCCGCGTCCAGCAAGCGCTGCCAGGGGCTCTGCGACTCGCGCGCTGACTCCGCAGCGAAGCGTCGCCGTGCTGGGCGTGCCGCAGTCCGAGTGCCATCCCGCCGAACCAAGCGCTCCACGCGGGCATCGAAGTCGTCGCGGCGCAGGAACGCCAGGGCCATGGGGCCATGTCACGTGAAACGTGTGACGCGTGTGAAACATCAAGTCTTGAATCCAGGTCCTGGGCCAGTGCTACCAAAGTGCAAATCACACAAAAGGCTGCTGCTAACTCTCAAACCTTGTGATCATTTTGCCACACATCATCGGGTGGCTGCTGCGGCCTGCACACGCTGGCAGGTTAGTGCTGTCGGGTACATTTCGCGAGATTCTGGATCTTGCAACGCCCTGCCTTCAAGGCTCTTGACAAGTCTTCACCTCGCAATGCCAGCAGCGCTGCGTTTTGCTGAACATCTGCTTCTAGGCAGTTGAGACCTGCACTCTGTGCCACAACGCTGACATGTAACTAGCTCAGAGCTTATGGGCAGAAACTTCGTGGGTGATATCTCAGGTGCAGACTTGTTTATTCTGGTGACCATGTTGTCTCTTAAAATTCCGCTCCTTCAGTCTCCTTCGCAATCTCTGCGTTCAGTCTCAGCAGCTCCTGGAACCGCAATGCTTGGATCTCAGAAAGCAAATGCGGGAAGGAAAGTGGAGACACGCAGCTTCTCCTCTTGGGCATCTGCCAGCTCCCCCTCAAGCTGCGCACGCTCGAGCGTCCGTGCTTGGCGGGCTGTGGCCAGCCTCGCAAGGGTATTCAGAATATGGTAGCCTCGTTCTCTCACGGCTTGAGGAAGGCACGAATCTCTTTGCTCATCTACGTCCTCCTGAGTTGCTCTGGCAGCAGCTGCTGAGCTTTGGCTCTCCTGCTCCTCGCAGGCTCGATGCAAACATATGCGCTGATTGGCGGTGAACACAAACCCCGCTCTGACTGGATTTCTTTGTTTTGTATGCGTTGTGATGAAGTGTTGCCGACTCCGCATGACTGACTCGCCTGCAAACGCCTCTCCGCTTCCATGTCAACCAAAGCAAAGTGTCCCTGCAAATTGATTGCTCGGCAGTCCAGCTGGTCGCTAGCACGTTGTAAGCCACGCCCTTGAGCAAGATACCACCAGCGGTGAAGCATTGACATTGCCAGCCACTGGGATCGCCAAGCCAAGCATCGACCTCAGGCTTGAGCTTGAGTTTTGAGTCCCTTAACATCCTGAGGATCTGAAGCAAGACTCAAGCTGCTTCCATGCCGTTCACTTTTGGCCATGTGGCTTGCCAGGGCGTCGGCTTGCTTGCAGTGACTGGCTCTGGCCAGCACGGCTTGCGAGCGCTCTTCTGCGCAAGTGGCGGCCACTTCCGCCTGAACCTGGAACGATCTGGGCCAAATTTGAGAGCTGCGAAGAACGCAGACTCAATATCAAAGCAACATTTGCTCGGAAATAAAAACGAAACAGGTGGGCTCCCAGGTGAGATCGTTGTGAAACAACAAACGCTTCACGCAAATGGTGATCTAAATCGAAAGACATGCCAGGCGGCACAGTTGACATCCAGAGTTACTCCAATGACTTGCAGGGACGGATCGCCTGGTGAGACATACCTGAAATCTGGCATTCAGAATAGACGACACAAGAGATAAGCAAGTCATAAACAAGATCTCATCATTTCATCTTGATTGTCACTCTGCTGTTCTTCTCTTATTTATATCTTCACCCTTCATCTCGCCATATGAATCTCCCCCCATTGCTGAATCTTGATGTAGCCGAAGGAATGGCCTGAAAAGATATTGACTCATGACAAGGCTCCTTCGGCAGATAAAGGAACTGTCTCACGGGTTCAGTGCCCTTCACAGCTTCAGCCCACTCAAAGCGAAAGCGAAGCAGGCGAAGCAAAGTTCCAAGTCGTGGAGAAGCTGCTCGCGAATCCGCGAATCCGCGAATCCGTAAAAGGAACGAAGTACACAGCGAGTCCGAAAAACAAAAAACGGTGGGCGTGTGTCAAGCAGCCCCGCGCAGTCTGCGCGCCAAGTCCAAAATGCCAAGCATTGAGAGGATGAACAAGGCCAATGGTGCGGCGGCATCGTGGTCTCTCGATCAACTTCTGATGCACTCAACATTGGGAGAGTTAAGTACCAACGTGGCTCCAAAACGACTGCACGGCTGCGCCCCACGTCGCCCCATCTGCCAGGCGGCGTGGGCATCGCGCCAGGCAGCCCATGCCCGTGCCGCAAGCGCCCGGGTGGTGTCCCGGACAGGCGCTGCAGCGATCCGCCGAGATGAAGCGATGCAGAGGCGCCAGGCGACCACCATGCGCCTTAGGAGTAGGAGAAAGAGGCCAAAATAACAACGTAAAACAAACACCTTCTGCTTGCATGTTCAACCCCCTTTTTGAAGCCGGCGCCTGTGCGCCTCCTTCACATCGCGCGATATCCGCCAGGTGATGTAAGTCAGGAGCCGGGCCTTCACTTCTTGCCTTTGCCACCGCTGGAGGCCTGCTTCTTTGGCTTCTAGCTCAGACCTGTCCGGCTTGCATGCCCGCAGGAAAAGCAATCAACATGCCAACATCAAAAGGCTGCGTTTCGTGAAAACAGAAAGATCAGAGACCAGGGCGGGCAAAAGACACATCTGCCGACGGCAGTTGAGCGTGTAGATGTTTGATGGACTTGGAATAGGAGATGAAGCGAGCTTAGTTCTAGCGATGTCATGGGAGCTGACGCAATGTAAAAACTCAAGCAATACATATATCTATATATACATGTTCTCTGTGCTCCTACTAATTGCGGTTATCTTACATACCTTGACTCACTTATCCTTCCTTCTTGGAGGGAAGGGGTCAAAGGAATGGCCGGTGAGGTGATTGGAACGCTGAGCAAGCAAGCGGTGACGGACAGGAAAGACCTCCGTCCCTTTATTCCCAGCTCTGTTCTCGTCTCCATTCTGTCATTGACTGTGGGGCGTGATTCTAGACACAAGTTTCTCAATCCCCATCCCTTGTCTTGGTATGAGGTGACGCTGGCGGAGTTGGCTTGGTAATCTTTCCGGCTCTGGATGTCTGGATAGGTGTGCGCTTGGAGGGGCTCTCCTAGGGAATCTCTAGGGGTGGCAAAAACCTGCATTTTCCTACTCCATATAACTTGCATGTCCGGACAAACGTCCCATAGGTACTGGCGGTATTGGCGCTTTCTTGCCTTGCCTGCAAACAACTGCATTTCGTTGGATTGCGCATGGGCATGATAGTATGCGCAAATATCCTCGACAAAGCAAAGTAGAATATCTCTGAGAAGTGTGTCAGGCAAAATGATGCACTGTGTCACATCCCGAGTTCGAGAGACATGAGCACGTATTCTGAGGTTCAGTGCAACAAAAATTGAGTGGAAATGGACTCCAATGAAATGTGCTGAGCACCATCGCGAGGTTTCGGGATCAACAAAAACTATGAACAAATACATGCCTCTCATCCAGGCAAAGCAACTCGCGCATTGTGAGTGGCGTAAACGAGAAACGCTTGATCCCGTATTGTGAGGTTCCGTGACCGAAGAGGAAAAATATCCTTTGAACGCCCCTGAGATATTCACAGAGCGTCGGTGGCTGGCGTAGCAAGCTCAACATGCACCTAAACGAACCTGCACAAGAAGTGCAAAGATTTATAAACGTTCAAAGTGCGTTATAAGAGTACATGCGTTTCAAAGCAAAAGCGTGTAGTGCTCTACTGGTACTTTTACTTTGCTTGTGCTTTGCTTCGGCACCTCTTTTGGGTGTAGAAGCTGCAGGCGACCGAGGCATGCCATGCCCACAGCGCCATAGCCAGGCGCTCCATGTCCCACGAGACGCTGCACTGGGCTCTGCTCTTGGCTGCGCGGTGGGCCCAGCTGGACCTCGCACACAAGAAGTGTCCAGCGTTTCAAAAGGAAGGCCTTGCTAAAAGGAGAAAAGGATGGGAAGGGGGGAACACCAGGTTTGTTCAACATTGCGGTCTCAGGGGCCACTTCCGAAACACCACTGCCCGACACCAGGAAGCTTCCCGGCGGCATTGCCAGCTTGCACAGCGGGCAGCCACAGCACGGCGCTGCTGGCTGAGCTCCTGCCGCCTCTCATGTGCTTCAGAGATCCAGCTGCAGATCTCTGATTGCTTGGCTGCCGCCGCTTGTTGCTCACTTTGGTGTGCATCCTGGCAAGCAAAAGCAAGCAAAAGCAAGTAAAAGAGAACAAAGAGAAAAGATGAGAAAAGACATTCCCAAGGAGGTTTGATATAAACAGCACCGCAGCATTTTCACTCCAGCGATGCGACACGAGTCTGATAGCCTGATAACCCACCTTTTCCTGTGGGATTTGCATTGGTATCCACAGCATGAATTTCCTCATGCTGTGGCCCAGTCAATTCGCCGATTTCCTCGGCACATCGGGTTTACCCCCGATAAGCTCTGGATGCCCTGCATCAAGCAGGATACATCTCCCACCACAGAGCTAACTGACTGACTGGGGGCCTGGTCCCCCAGGCATTCCCCAAGCGCGGCGCGCTCTTCAAAGATCACGGACGTCCCAACTAGGGGGGCCGGTGATCTAGGGCGGGATAGGGTGGGGTTAAAATTTAGCCAGTTTGGATCATGCTTGAGCCAAAAGGCCCCGCATGATCCAATACACTCCTTGCAGAATGAAGCCTGTAAACCCAAGCCTTCCAACCTGATACAGGATTACATTCCCAAGGAGGTTTGATATAAACAGCACCGCAGCATTTTCACTCCAGCGATGCGACACGAGTCTGATAGCCTGATAACCCACCTTTTCCTGTGGGATTTGCATTGGTATCCACAGCATGAATTTCCTCATGCTGTGGCCCAGTCAATTCGCCGATTTCCTCGGCACATCGGGTTTACCCCCGATAAGCTCTGGATGCCCTGCATCAAGCAGGATACATCTCCCAACGCACTTACTTTCACAACCTCTCCCAATGCACTCATAGGAACTCAGCAAAGGTAATCACTGCTCGGTACGGAAGCCTCAGTAGAGCTGGAGGGAAAAGACTGAAATTCAACTTGAAGTGGTTGGCCCTGTACCATGGGTCACTGGGTCCTAATCGGCTGATCGCGTCGGCCCAATTGGATTTGGATGGAATGTATTCCCAGTAAAGTGAGGCTCGCAACGCGAAGAGCAAACACTGAATATACGTCGCCATCTTGGCCAAGTCGGGGTTGTCACTCCTGCCCCTGATCAAACACATAAGACTGGCGATGTTGTCGATGAACCACACTCCGCGTCTCCCGCAGAATTGGTCGGGTCTCGCCGTGAGGGCGTGCACCACCATGAACAGCTCCAACTGGGCTATTTTATGGTCTCCTGGGATGATGGCTACAAAGGCCTCCCGGATCTGCACGCCACCGTCCTGGAAGACCAAGTGGTATCCGCCGGACCCTTGACGAGGTGCCTCCAAAGCCGCGTCCGAGGCAGCCACCACCCTCGGCACATCCATGGGGAGGACCATCAGCTCCCTCCTGGGGCGCATACTGATGATAGCCTCCAACACGTCAAAAGCCGCCAGGAGGCTGCTGGAGCCCCCGTACTGGTGCTCCTTCAATGCCTGGATTTCGCCCAAGCCAATGCGCCCGAAGAGGCCATGCTCCAGGAAGTTGACCATGCCGTAGAGTTTCGCAGCTTGACCCGGGGTGAACTTCCCGCTCTTCCTGGCTTCACGCATGAAGGTGAGCACCTTCTGTTCGAACCCAAAACCGCGCACGTCCATGTGCGTGGACCTCCGAGAGGTCGAAATCAAGCCCCAAGAAGGTACCGACATCCGCAGCTCCCTGGCGCTTCTCCTCAGCGAACGGGGTGCCCAGCAGGTCGTTGAGGGCGCCAAAACTCCACTGGGCTGATGGGCCGTGTACTGCGCGGTCTGTGATGTGACTGTCGTCGAAATACATGGACACCATAATTGCCAGAAAGCGCCTGCCCATAGCTTCCGCCATTCGGGAGTAGCGGTTGAAGGAGGTGACCGCCAACGGAAGGCCGAACAAGAGGGCGTGGTACACCTGGAAGGCCGGCTCCTGCCATTCTTGGTGGTACCAGACTACTACGCAGGCCAGGGCCTCCTGTCGTGACATGGGACAGTGGCGGTAGGCATTCGGCCAATCATCTCCAGCCTGCCCCTGCTGCGCGAACCGCTCCCAGGCGCACTCCTGAAGGCAGGCTGCCGCAGCTTGGACGTGGAGCGCTGGGCGGAGCGGCGTACACAAAACAAGTTTGTTGGCATCTCTGGACGATGCAGATTGCCCGCCCCGTGCTGCGTCGTCTATCAGACGCTGCTTGCCAGACGCCTGTGTGATGACACAGCGAGGTATGAGCCGGTATGGATCTCCTTTCGCATACCGCTTGAGCTGGCTCAGGTTCATCGGGGGGGTGCAAAACCCCTCCTTGTGACCCTTTGTGGACTGCTCAAGAACGAAGGAGTCCGTGGAACCCGGCCGCACTCCTGCGATGGTGGCGGCGTTGTGCTCCTCCCAACCAGCCAGTACCTCCGAATGGGCGATCGCCTCGACGGGCTGGTGGGGGAAGACTCCGTAATGAGGGGCATAGCCTACTGCTGGAAGGCCTTTGATGAAGCCGTGAGGGAGGGCGAAGTCGCCCCACTGCATGAGGACGACGAAGAGCCCCAACAAACCCAGATCGCGTTTCGAGGTAACTCCTCGGATGGCTTCGGACTGGAAGGCCACGAGGTGCTTGGACACCGGCGCCCAGCTGCGCTTCAGCTCCTTGATGGCCCCGACGGACGCCTGGCGGCGTCTCTTCAGGTCGTGATTCTCCATCACCATGCTGGCCGCGTACCACAGGTCGTCGTCCAACGTAGGAAGGACTTCCAGCGGGGTTGCCGTGTTGGTCCACTGCAGGGATGCGGCGAAATGGGCGTCCGGCTCCAGCCCATATCCTACCAGAGGTGGAATGGAGGCCTTATGGTTGTAGGCTCCATGCTGCTTCCCCTCTCTCTGCCAACCGCTGCCGCCTCCGACTAGCGTTGGACGAGGAGGGTGGCCCCAGGAGTCCGTCCCACTCCATCCCGCGACTCTGGCGCCAGTCCAAGTAGCACGTAAAGGGTTCCTTGTTCAACAGGTCCTCCAACATGGGCCACTGAAAAGATTGGAACCACTCTGCCGGGTAGAGCTTGCGAAAGGCCAAAATTACGTCCTCCTGCGGAAACCAGAGTGACATCGACTGCAGGGCGTCACTGCCTCGGAGCGATCCCATGATGGTCGCCGCCCTGACCACAGAGGCCCTGGCCTGCCTGTGCCGCCGCCCAGTGACTCTGGGCAGGCTAGCCTCGGCATCCGGATGGGTCGCATCAAAGACCATCCCAGCCAGCGCATCTGCCTCGCAGACACCGTCCGGGCCGCAATCGCATGCCAGCCGTTTGCCTTGCAGCGCAGGCAGCTCCGCCTGCAAATTGGCGAGGACGAAGTCCACGTAGAGCGGCAGCCAGTTGTCCGTCGTACAGGTGTGCCCCTGCACGAACGGTGATGCCCGCTGAGACCGTGGGACCCGGTGGGAGTGGTGGCCCTGACCCACGTAAACCACGTCCGGAGGCAGCTTACCATCTGCAAGTACGTCCGCCACTCGTACCACCGTGGGCAGCCGTGCCCGCTCCTCGGGACGCAGTGGTGGCAAACCGAGTGTGATCGGGCTTGCTGCATCTCGATGATCCGGCCCTCCAGGGTGAGCAGCATGGGCGGTTCCACCACCACGGCCTGGGACCTCGCCTTGCGCACCTTCCCAATAACTTTGGGGGGCTTCAGGCGGTCCAGCTGCCACTGCAACCTGCCGTTGTTGGACAGCCAGCGCAATGACTGCAGCGCTCGCGACGGCGACATGGCCTGCTCAAGGAAGGCGTGAAAGTCCAACTCCTCCGGGTCCTGCACGTCCCTGGCTGCGAGGAAGAGCGAGAGCTCCTGGAACGTCCTCACCGCGTTCAGGATCGTGGTCGCCTCGGACTGGGTGACTCGTTCCTGAGCAAGCCTCCGAACCGCTTGCTGCCAGTCGGCATAGCGCTTCGGGTCGTCGTACCTCCGGGGCCGAAGGACGCCCAGCTTCATGAAGGCCTCCGTCAGCAGGTTGACCCTGCGGCCGACCGCCTCGGCGTTGTCCGGGTTCTGCCTCAACCGCAGGCCCACGTTGCTCGTGGGGAGCCGCACCGCCGGCCGGCGGAGGGTCGATGGCCCCACCGGCGTCACTCGCCAGGGGTCCGCCTCCACCACTGCCGCGCCTGCCGGGAGGAGGTGAGCCTGCTGCTCCGCCCGCACCCGCGCCCAGTCAGCGGCGACGAAGTGGCCACCCGCGCGGACTGCATCCTCGAAGGCCTCAAAGGCGAAGCCGAAGTCGGAGTCCTGCATCAGCCCGTGCTTCTGCCGAAAAGCTCGAACGTTGGCCTCCTGGACACGAGACATCAGCCCCTCGCCAGAGCCGCCCGGGTCGCCCCCGGAGTGCTCCATGGCTTCAGTGGCATAGCGCCCAGGAGTGGCGTCACCGCGAAACGCCATGGCTAAGAGCAGCGCCCCCCAGCGTAGAGCCTTGGCAGCAGCGGATGGGGCAGGCCTCGCATTGGTGGATGCCACATGATGCGCACACAGAGTGAGTCCTGCTTCCGCACTAGGCGCAAAGCCCGCCCAGAGGGAGGTTCCTCCTCCCCTCGTCCAGCCACCCACGGAGAAGCCTCCCCGCTGTGGCTCTGGCCAGGGAGTCGCTCTCCCTGGGCCATGGCTCGGTCCAACTCCGAGCACCCAAGCTCCATCTCCTCCAGGTCCCCATGAAGCCCCTGAAGGACACGAAGGGGAGGTCGCCAGATTCCACCCGGCCAGCAATGGCGGAGACATACATCGGGATGATGTCCTGGGTACGGAGGCCACTGCCTGCTTCAGCCACCATGGCCTCAGACAGGCGATCCTCCTCATAGCACCCATGATAGGCGGCCCAAGCCTCCTCTGCAGATGCACCTTCTTGAACCAAGACTGCACGCCGGCACCAGGTGCCAATGAACGGGAACTTGAAGCCGCCAAGGGACCCGTCACATCTCGCACACTGGGCATCAATGCAGGGTGCAAATTGCAGGTGGGGTATCTCCCCACTATCAACCAAGGGCAGGGGAGCTTGCACGAAAGGGGCATGCAAAACTTCCACAGCCGAAAGCCAGAGCATCCGGGCCTGGCCATGATTCCCCTGCTCCAGCAAGTTGCCCACATGGCGCTTGAAGTCGAGGTAGGCGCCTGTGGACAGGATAGGACGATCCGTGTGAACGGCAAAGTCAACTCCTGGAACTGCCAACATTCGACAAGTAACACTTGCCGAACCCGCAAACCAGAAGTTAAAATTTAGCCAGTTTGGATCATGCTTGAGCCAAAATGGCTCCGCATGATCCAATACACTCCTTGCAGAATGAAGCCTGTAAACCCAAGCCTTCCAACCTGATACAGGATTAGAAAAGGAAAAGAGAAAAGGAAAAGAGAAAAGGAAAAGAGAAAAGGAAAAGAGAAAAGGAAAAGAGAAAAGGAAAAGAGCGGCAACTGGCAAAGGGACTCTTGGCTCATTGGCATCGCCTCCTCCAGGCGCAGCTCTTCGAGAAGTTGAGCAAACTGATGCCCGGCCTGCGATATATTGGAACCTGTTTATGGGCCCCGAGGGCTGCATCCCGAGTCCCGAGTCCCGAGTCCCGAGTCCCGAGTCCCGAGTCCCGAGTCCCGTTGCATCCTTTGAACCGACGGGCTGGGCCGGCTCTCGACTTGAGCCTTCTCGGCCGCCAGCCAGGAGCACCAGGCTGCAAGGCAGCGATACGACTGCCAGGTATCCTGGACATGGACTCAGCCGCTCGGCCAAACCTTGAAATCTTCAATTTCTCAGATTCTCCGTAGCGTCACGCATCCGCTCACGAACATTTCTGGACATCTCCTTGGCGGACGCTAGGGCCTTGTGGCGCAGCGCAAAGGCGCTACGCCGCCGCACCAAAGAGGCCTCGGCCTCCGCGAGGGCCTTCTCAAAGGAGCTCCGGCACCGCTCCTACGCCGATGGGCCGATGGGCCAACAAAAAGTTGCTCGTGCCCCTTGGGATACCAAAGTGCACTTTCAAAAGAGAAATCAAGGTCTCTACGAATCGATGGCACATATTCTGGGGCTGGTCTCTTTCAGCAAACACGAAATAACAGCACAAAACCCTGCTCCTGTCGAACCTGCTCATCTGTCCACCTTGGTGAGTTGGTGTCTGTATCAGGGACAGGACGCAACACTTCGAAACAAAAGTCTGAAGCAAGCGGCTGGCTTTGCCAATGCAAAAGCTCTTCCTCCTCAGAGCGAGTCGGAGCCTTTGTTCTGAAAGCCATCGGATAGGCATCCCTGCTCTGAATGGCCCAAGCTTATGTGTGGCTTCTTTTTTGTGTCTGGTGGATGCTGGCACGTCCGAAGTTTGGGGTAATGCTGCGCGGTTGAGTTTCTACGCCTGAAGCTGGAGCACGCTGAATCTCAAGCCACAAAGTGCTGCCAACGGGACGCATAGACGGATGAAACTACACGAAGATACGGCCCAGCAACCTGATGGCAAAGAACCTGGGCGGCCTTGTGGAAAAGAGAAACAGTGCCGAGTCCCGAGCGGTCATTTTGTCATTTTGTGGTGAAACGCGAATCTTAAAGTGCGTTACAAATCCCGGGCTGGTCAGCAATTCCGCTCAATGGTCAGCAAATTTCATGCCAAGCACCAAAGGAATCAAAGCATTGCTGGCCAACTCAACATTCATGCCTAGCTACTAAGCAAGCTTCAGGCTCTTGAGGGATAAGACGTGATTCTGTGACAATGGTGAGAGCCCAAGCGAATCTTGCATGGGGAATCCAGTTTTCAGGACTCCTGCAAGCTTGGATCAAAGTCGCCTGGCATGCGTCTCAAAGAGTCTCAAGGCGAGAATCTCTGCGGACACGTCTTTGCTTTTCTGCTACGGCTCGAGCGCCTTCAGAGTTCCCACCACCGCCTACTCCTTGGCCCTGGTGTGCGTGGCTTCCGCGCGGACGGCGCGGACGGCGCAGGCTTGGAAATCCGTGGCGCCGGGCTCGCCTGCCAATTCTTCCCACGTTTTCGCTCGTCCCACCCCTCTCTGCCCCGTCAGCCCCGTCAGCCCCGTCAGCCCCGTCAGCCCCGTCAGCCCCGTCCCGTCAGCCTGGCGCTCGGTTTGGTTTTCGTGCGCATCGCGGCGAACAACTTGGAGCCGCCGCCAGCGGGCCGAGCCCGGCGGCCAAACCGCCGCAGCCGTCTCGGTGCCTACGCAGCACATTTCACTCTTGAGCAATGCGTCAGCATGTTACAGCATACTCTTGCCATGTGCCTTCATCCAGCTTTGGCCGAGGCAGCAAGGGCACCTGAGATTCGGCAATGTCAGACCAAACACATGAGAAAACCAGGAGTAGAACAGGGAACACGTCTTTTCTGAAATTCTCAGAACTCTCGCGATTCTCCGCAATTTAAGGTGCGGACCTGACAACTAGGCGGCCTTGAGCTCTCCGCGCTCGCTGCACGGCTGTCCATGGGCGTTCGAGTCAGGCTGCTCCGAGCACCCGTCCTACACACTTCGATAATGAGAATGGAGCAAACAGGGAAGACTAGACTACTAGAGTATCGGGCATAAACAGAACATGGACAAGTGCAAGTTGCAGGCCCCAGTCCGGCTCCGAACGGAGAACTCACGGCTCGGTCCCGGCGACTGGCTCCATTTCACCTGCTTCAGTGCTTCCTGCCTCTCCCTCCTTTCTAAATGAGTCCCTTGAGACTAATCTGAAAGGCTGGCCCAAACTGGCCTCGTCCATCGAAAAGCCCATCAGACTATCGCGGCATGGAGCGAGGAGGTTGAACCACGGCTGGATCATGTGAACTTCTTGGTCTGCCATCTCCTTGAATTGCATCAGAGTGTCTGACCAAGATGCCATCTTCCAAGCATGCTCGACTCTCATGACGGTTCGGCAAGCGGCAACAGCAGTGTCTGGTCTTGAGATGGCATCCTCAGAGGGCAGCATCGGAGCGACATCAGTTCTTGCACAAGTGCAGAACCGCTGGCGCCGAATATGCCAAGGCTCTCCCACCTCGGGCCGCTGTGGGCGAAGCCTGGGAGAGTGCGCCTGAGCTCAGAATGTCCCCGTCTTTGAACTTCGCTTTTCCGAGAGCTGCGCCCGTGGGCTGGTGTGGCGCTGCCCAGTGACGTGTAGCCTCGGCGCTTTTGGTTCGCATGCGAAAGCCGCAAGTCACCGCAAGTCGCGGTTTTAGAGCTCGCAATGGCGGTGGCTACGAGCTCAAGTCGCAGGCCGAGCGTCTGCTTGACGCGAGCCTCGAAGACCCGGTTGATCATAACGCCAGCGCCGCGAAAGCGAGCGGGCCCCTCCGCTTCCCCCTTGACTTTGCTCCTCAGACACCCCAACAGACTCGTGGCTCAGAACAGTAGAGGAGGCGTGGTCCTCTGCATGTTGCCAGGCCATCAGACTGCAATGCGCAGCATATCCTCAGGGGCAACGCATGCGCCATGCGCAAGTCACATCGGGCCAGCATCGGATCCCAGCCTTGAGGAGCGCCATCTGCCACAGCACAGAACGCAGCTGGAGCCACCATCATCAAACAGCAATCGGCAGAGAACTGCAAGCGTGGTTCATTCAAGTGGCTGGCAGCCGGCGCTCTCACTTCATGCAGCGAACTCCACAGCCAAATACCCAAAGAGGCTGGGTAAGGAAGCTATTTCAAGCGACGCGCGGCGTGAGGTCTGTCCAACTGTACCTGCTGGGGGATTTCCCAGCAGCAAATTCGCTTCTGCATCTTCGCTGACCGGATGGACCAATGATCAATGACCCTTGCTTCCCAAGCATCAAATATCAGAACTATTCAAAGACGCAAAACTCTGGCAGCATAACAGCTGTGGCCAAGAATAAGGAAAAATGCCACTTGTCGAGCACTGCGGCACTTCAAAGCGTGAAACAAGCAAAGGACGTGGTCCGAGCTTTGCAGCTAGAGCGCGAGCTGCTGTAAGGTCCGGCCACTGTCTTCAGGCGACATGTGGTTTTGGAAACCGTGCGTCAGCCTGTCGACTGTGTAAAAAAGTTTGAATGTGCTCAGCTCAGTCCGCAGTCTCCTGTGCCACGTGCGCATGTCGAAATGAACAAAGTGGCTGTTTGCGGCTTGAAGTGGGACTGTGCGACGCTCGGTGACTCGTGCGAGGCAAAGGCAAGCAGCTTGCCGCTGACAATTCAGACTCAGAGCCCTGGCCTTCAGCTTCTTGCGCATGGCCTCCAGCTCGCTATCGATGGCCGAGCCCGAGCCCGCGCCAGAGCTCTTGCCTTCCGAAGGTTCCGGCAGGGCCTCATGGATTCGGCTGGGCGGCTGGCTGGGCTGGGCGGGGCGCCTGGCCTTCTTGCCCTTGAGCTTTGTCAGTTCATCGTCCACCGCACTTCCAGATTCCAGCCTGACGTGCGCGCTCCAAGTCTTGGCATGCTCACCCATGGAGCTGGTGACGTTGACTCCAAACATGCCAGAGTTGCTGCTTGAATCGGTCCTGGCTTGCAGGTTCAAGCAAGGAATGCGCCAACTCGCCAGTAATTTGCTGAGACAGTTGGGGCACAGCAGACTCCTCTAGGCTTCCTGAAGACTGCGCTTCCGGCAGCAGTCCCTGCGAAACCTCGCAGTGGCAATCACAGCTCTGAGAGCACCTTTGCTTTCCTGATCCCGCCTCTGCGCGGGTTTCCAGCATTTCAACCTGATTTAGCTGAAACACTTCTTGACGATTTGTTTCAGCTTGTAAACATGCTCGAGATCACTCAAATTGCAAGAGCCCAGCCTTCTCCTTCATGCGCTCAAATGCTCCTGTGGAGCCGACGCTGGTGATATCAGACAGCATCTCGTTCACCTGGTTTCATGTGTGCTCGCACATTGTGCCTGGGGGCGTTACGCAGACTTGCTGTGGCTTCCGGCCTGTGATGTTGTCTTGGCAGTCCTTGCTCTGGCAATAAGCTGCTCCTTCTCCTAGCCGTGCGTCCCGAAGCCTCCCCCGTTTCCTGCGCTCTGCAAGTGTGAGCACGTTCACTCCTCCTTGGCCGAAGAGATCTTGGCCTTCAATTGGTTCGTTGCAAGCAGTCTTGGAGTCTTGGGAATCGAACATCTCTCCCTCTCCCAAAATCTCCAAAGGTCCACAGCCCCAAGTGCCTCAAGGGCCTTGACCGACTCAAAGAGCTTTTCCACGCTCCTTGGGTGTGCATTAGAACGTGGCCACAACACCAGCAATGAAGTGATCCAACCTGACGTTTCCCCTAGTGAGGTCAACAGCCATGTCACACGGTCATCGTGTCGATCTGTGCCGCGAGGTCGTTGACCTTTCGCACCACAAAGGATCGTGTCGTCAATATCGCCAGCAACCAACCCATGAGATCAAGAAAGCAGAAAGCCTGCCTTGCTCACTGCTGTTTGCCGCCGAGTCAAAGCTTCTTTCGCCAGCTCATCATCGCCTTTCTCAACCTTAAAAGCGGGACCACCACCACACGTCTACACAAGCAGGCACGCGCTCTCTGACTGACTCACTCACTCTCTGATTCGTTGACTCGCTCTCTCACTGACTCACTGACTCACTGACTCACTAACTCACTGACTGCCGCCTCACTCACCGACTCACTAACTCACTGACTCGCTCTCTCACTGACTCACTGACTCCCTGACTCACTGACTCGCCGACTCACTGCCTCACTGACTCACTCATTGACTCGCTGACTCACTGATTCACTGACTCACTGACTCAGTGACGAACAACAGACTGACTCACTGACTCACTGACTCGCTAACTTACTGACTGACTGACTCACTGACTCACTAACTCACGAACTGAATGCCTGACTCACTGACTTACTCACTCGCTCACTCACTGAGTGACTGACTCACTAACTCACTGACTCGGTCGCTCGCTCGCTCACGCACGCATAGCCGCAAGTTCACACCACATGCCTGTTGCATGATGCCTTGGAGTGACCAGCTAAATTGCAGGCACACTCCTGCGGGTCTGCTTCTACCAGCACTTTGACACGTTTCGCTAGGGGAAGTGCTGCCATCTCGGCCCGGCGGTACCAGTCATCTGCCATCTTGTCAGCCTGCTCCTGCAGCGTGAAGCCGCAAACGTATGGTCTGACACAACACTCATTGAACGGCTCCTTCTGGTTCTGCAGTCTCCTCTGCGTTGCGAGCACCTCACCGAAATTGAGTCCATCTAGACCAATGTAGAGTCCAGAAGCCAAGGATGAAACTTCTGCGTAGGACTGCCTGACTTTGATGAGGTCACCCTGCACTGTGAGCCGTCCGGGGGCCGCTAGATCTTTGCACTGCCAATGGCACTTGACACACGCTGAGACACACCTCACCCGCCTGCATCTCATCCAAGGCTTGGTCCAACACTTTCTCAGGGTCCTCGATGCCCTGCAATACCTCTCACCGTTCAGCATGCACGCATGCCCCGCATGCCTCATGGAGTCGGAATGTCAGTGAGATTGAAATCCTGATCCAAAGGGACATACGATCTTGCGCATGAGTAAGCTGGTGCATGGTTTGCAAGGCTTGATGTAAGCAAAACACTTTGGTTGATGGGCAATACCCATGCACGGAGGTTTGCAAAGCCGGCTATGGCTGAGAGAATGCGATGGCTAACAAGGGGCATTGCGCCGGAGCTTCAGCGACTTCGAGAGCTCACAACCCATCCAGCGGCCAAGTGCCAAAGAGTGCCAAAGAGTGCCAAAGAGCTGATGCATTGAACGGAGACCAGGCCCGACTGGTTCGCTCCTTGGGCAACTGACGCCTCTACCTGCCTCTCGTGCACCTGGAGAACGAAGTTACTTGGAACTCAGAAGCCCTGAGATGAGCATCGGCAGCCACCTAAAAGCGGCCAACATTTGCACAAAATGTTGGCAGATCTGATGGCAAGCCATCGAATGGCCACAGGCTACGACACTACGAGGCTGGCCCCATATATCATCGTAACATCATATTTCCATACCAATATTTTAATCATCCCTGGGCTCCGTGTTCCAACTGCTCCCAGGTGTGTATTCTACAATTCGCATGAACCCGACCAGATCTCTAGACTTGCTTGATACATTTGAGGGTGCACTCAAGCTTGGCATAAGACCTGCGCAGACCAAGCGCGCTTTTCACCGGTGCAGCTCTCAAAGCCTTGCGTCCTTCCAAGTCCGAGCAAAGTGCGACATGGTGCGACTCATGTGCTTGGGGCCCTTGGGGCCCTTGGGGCCCTTGGGGCATGGGTCTCGGACTTGGCTTGGAGCGCCGGCCACAAGAGAGCTGTAACTGCAGCCTGTACACAGCCATCGCCTGCTGCCTACCGGCACATCCCCAGCCTGACGCTCAGCTGTCAGGCCAGGCACTGAATCAAAGTGGCCAGCCCAAGCCCTCAGGTCCTCTCCCATTCGGCTCAGCCCAAAGGCCCGAAGGCCCGAAGGCCCGAAGGCCCGAAGGCCCGAAGGCCCGAAGGCCCGAAGGCCCTCAGCCATCTCAGCCCAACTGCTTCCGCTCCAACTTGCCAGCTTTGTACGCGTCCACAAATGCCCTCACGGATTCCGCCGTCACCGTACCAGCCTCTCCGAGGTAGTAAGCGCCTTAGGCTGCATCTTGTTCAACAGCGCGTGCCATAGATGGTGCCACAGCTTGCAAAGCTTGCAACTCGAATTTGTCAAGTCACCGTCGCTGGGAATATCCAGCAATGCCAACTGCACGGGGTGCTTGGGAGCTTCCTTGCCTTCAGAGCTATCACTGATGTCCGGAAAGGAACAACAAATAAAGCCGTGCCTGAGTAGGCGAGGTTGTAACACTCGCCGCAGAAATCGTAGTCACAGCCTGGAAGCTAAGCCTTGTCAACCTCAAGCATCTATCCTTCGAATAGATACTGCAGCCAACGATTATACGAAAATAGCAATTCAGGTCAATCAGCGTCCCAGGTCATACACACTGACTTCCTGAGTTTCAGTATTCGTTTTTGCCAGGCCTTCTGCACAGCGATATCGCTCTTTGCCATTGCCATCTTGGCCGCAGCCATCACATCCCCAGCCAGGACCGCACCCGTCCTGCACAGTGACAAAAGCGGCAATGCTCATCACGCAGCTTAAAAAGAAAAAAAAAAGTGTGACGATATGACAAGATCTTTGCGCGAGTGTCCTGCTTCTTCAGCTCATGTTGGTGCGGGGCCGGAGGCAAGCTTGGCAGGCCTTCGCTTGGCAGAAAACCCGCCGACCCACTGTTTCACGTAGCCTCATAAAGCTAAGGGAACGACGAGATATTAAGTATTTGGAAATGATTCGCAATCCCCACCCACTTCAGGATTTGCGCGACCTGCTCATACGCCAACTAGGTGTCAAGAAAGGTCAATTGAAAGGTCAATTGAAAGGTAAATTGAAGTGGGTGGGTTTTGGAGGTTGCTTTGATGTGTCGAAGGCTTATTTTCAACTGCTAAACGTACCTGGTATTGAATTTGTGCGGTTTGCTGTTCTTGTTGGTTTGTTCGTGCAAGACACCGCTAAATGCCTCATACCTCCGAAGGCTGCCCAAAGTGTGAAACAGGGCCCAGCCAATTGGATTGCCCGGGCACAGCAAGCACTGTCGCAGAGGGAAGGATCAAAGCAAAGCTTGTGGCATGCCTTTGCTAAGTCGACTGACCCGAAAGCAGGACATCAGCACGAACCGGAGTGGCCATGCGATACTCTAGCAGTTTCTGGGCGATTGCATGGGGCAAGCAAGTCCAATCCGTCAGTCGGAGCAAGCTCGGCAGCAAAAGCAGGCGCATCAAAAAAGCGCGGCGCTGAAAAAAAATATGAAACATACAGGAAATAAGTTTGAAACAAGTCATGTGGCGCACTGACTCCCCATAACGTGTGGCAAAAATCAAACTGCGGATGTAAGATATGACATTCCAACCAAAATCTCATAATGCCACGCCATGGCAAACTGAGGGATCAAGCCGAGAGGCCTAGCATGCCTCGAATTCGCCCTCCCAAGGCAGACTGCTTCTTGGCCGTCATGAAGGCAATCTCTGGCTGGTCCTCTTCTGCGGCCTGCTCAATGTCTGGTCCAGTCATGAAGGCAAGCAAACAAAAACAGACAAATCTCACACGTTACAAAAAAAATAAATGAAAATAACTGAAAAAAGATGAAGCGCCTTCTGCTTGTCAACGAAGGTCTTGGCAATCCCTGTCAGAGCTTCCTCGACAGCCTTCTTCTCGTCATCGCTGCACGTCTCACAGAAAGCCAACACTGTGGGCACTTCCTCGATGTCACCAGGACCGCCTTCCAGATCGTTGACCTCTTGCAGATGAAGAGTGAATTATGGCGTGGAAAATGCTGTCAGTTCAAAGTCTTCCAAGCTTTCTTGCGTGTGTTGACACCCAAGGCTTGACAAGGCTTGACAAGGCTTGACAAGGCTTGACAAGGCTTGACAAGGCTTGACAAGGCTTGACAAGGCTTGACAAGGGACAGGCTTGGGATGCCAGGGCAGCTCCGCGCCCACGGGATCCGCAGTCACCGCGTTGCGCCCGTTCAAGGTCACGAGGTTCAAATCTGCGTCGAAGACGACCTCAAGACTAGCGAAAAACGAAGAAAAAAAAGAACAAAAATGAATACATCAACAAACAAACCAATGAACAAAAAAATAAATGCACCACACCACGACACAGAATGCAGAGATTACAGCAAAGCTTCCAAAGACGGGATTCCCTGCACCTTGCAGACAGTGGAGATCTGCTCCTGCGCATGCCAGCTCTCCCCATCCCATGCCATCCCATCAAGAGACCCGATACCAGGCCTTCAGCTTTCGATCCGAGTAGTCCAGCGCAAGCCAAGGCATCTCTCCAAAGTAGCCCTTGAAATCTTCCTCCGTTCGGTCTGAGGAGACGAAGACCACTTCCAAGCCCTTGGCTTTGAGGTCCTGGCTGTTCAGACCGTTACAACAAATTCTGGGCGCCCAGTTTGTTCTTGCAAGAAAGTGCAGCAAGAGCTGGTGCGTCGCAAGTCAGGCAGGGCAATCAAATGTGACATGTGGCCCTGACCCATTGACTCCAATGACAATGGCGTCACTCCACCCACTCCTTCTCATACCATTGACTGAGTTGCGGCGTAAAGCCACGGCAGGGTGGACACCAGTGCGCGCTGAAGTAGAGTGCCAAGGCCTTCTTCCCTGCCATTGCCTGACACCCACACTCGTCAGATCTCTTTTGGCCTCTGATCTGACAGAAAGCCGAACAGCCGAATTTCCGACTGTGGCCTCTTTCAGCGAAGATGCACCCGATGGACCCACCAGCTTCATCTTCTCCAACAAGTCTTTGGTCTTCGGAGGGATCCTGCAGCGCCACAGGATCTTTCTACATCTCGGTTCGCTGGACAAACTGCACTGAATGCCTTGCAACTTGCTTTCTGGCTCTCTCGCAATGCTAAGCTTTCGGGCAAGTGTCCAAGGAAACTCCTCACCCTTGGGGTCTTTGGTCACGGCAGCCCGCCCTTCGCTGGTGATCAGGTTTCCGCTGCTGTCCAAAATGACAAAGGACGGGATTCCCTTCACCTTGAATTTCTTGTTCAAGTTCGCAGTGATCTCCTGACAATGGCAAACGACAATCATGTGCACATCGGTGCACCTGACTCACTGAATATGCATCAAGCCACATCGAATGGCATACACAGCCTTCGCGTGGAGTTCACTTAGCACTAACTTGGCTGGCACAGAATGCACACACAAAATCTCGCACCAGTCCTTCTCGCTAAAATCAACTGCCAGCCACGGCATCTCTGCAAAGTAGCTCTTGAAAGACTCGTCGTCGCGGTCGCCGGAGACGAAAATGATCTCTAGGCCCTTGTCCTTGAGGGCCTGACATGTTGACATGTCCACGACATGTCCACGACATGTCCATGACATGTGCAAATGTGAGATGTCCATAGCGAGAGCATGAGAGCTGCATGAGAGCTGCATGGCACCTCTTTGTACCACGAGGCCAGCTGCGGAGTGAAAGCTTTGCAAGGCGGACACCAATGGGCACTGAAGTACAGCCCCACCGCCTTCTTGCCGCTGAGGGCCTCCGGAATCAGCACATGAAAAATATCCAAGTCATCTCTGAAATTGCGAGTCCGCCACGGTCCAACTGAGCCTAATTGAGCACTATCACATCCTAACCCTGCAGCGTGGAAGCCTTGTTGCCTTGTGGCCACTAACGCCCGCCATGCGCCTCTGTTGTGCTCAGCTTGGTCAAACCTTCTCCCAGCAGGTTGTTGCCCAACAGCTCCGCGAAAGCCATGAGGTCAAAAGATCGAGATCCACAAAATGCTAATGCTTGGGCCCAGGTGCTCTCTATAGCAAGCGCGCATGCAAAACTTGGCTTTCAGAGAAGCTCTGCTCATTGCACCCAAAACTCAAAGCCGATTCACTGCCACCTGCCCATATCCTTGCTGCAGCCCTTGTCCCCGCAACCAGCAAAGCAGCTCGCCTTGTTGACATTTGCCTTGGCCACTCGGGCAAATCGCTCAAAGAAGTTGTCGGCGTAGCGGACCTGCTTGAGACCCCAAGCTTTTAGCATCTGCCTAGCTCTTCTCAGCAAACTGAAGGCGCGCCGTAGGTGGATTGGACACCCTGGGTAGTGGTCGCCTCAGCTGAACGTGGCTGGTTGAGGGGCACATATTTCAATTTGACGGCACATCACTGGCATAAACAAGCAGAATCAAACGTTTCACTCAGAGCCTGGCAGAATTGCAAAGCCATTTTGTGCAGGGTTCTTGTTGAGGGTATGCAACGCAGGACGCGGGACGCGGGACGCGGGACGCGGGACGAATCTTGTATGAAACGGGGGGTCCATGTTTTTTTTTTTTTTTTTTCGTAAGATGTACGGGAAAAGAGTGCTTGACACTTCCCCAGCTCCAGCTCGAAAGTCGCAACTATTCAGTACAAGCGCAGCAAGCAAAGCGCGCCTCCAGTTCCAGCTGGAAAGTTGCAATGTTGAGCGCAAACCGGCACAAAAGGCACGAGCTGGGGTTGGGAATGTAACGCAACGACCATGCATCCGGCTGTGTAACGAGGTATATGCATCGGGGTATGCAATGAGAGCGCATGCAACCAGCCAGGCTGTTTTGGTAACCTGAGGTATGTAACGAAGGTATGTAACGCGGTGATATTATATATATATATATATATTATAAGTCTTGCTCCACATAGGTGTAACGGGTTATGTAACGAATGTCCGCCGCAGCTCTGCTACGTACCCCTCAAGAAAGACTGCCACATGATCTGTTGTAAGCCACTCAACAAAAACTAAGAGCACCGCTGACCCACAAATGCACTCCCTGCTTGCAAGCACCTCAGACTAGGTGCTTGCTCAAGCCGCGCATTCTTCACGGGTGGCTTTGAACCTCTTTCATCCTCAGCTCCTGCTGCAACTTGCAACGATTTACTGTTCTTCTTCTCACGATTTGTCGCAAAATATGATCTCGGCACTTCTCTGCCCAGGCACGCCACACATGCGGCGCCCAAAAGAGCAGCGCTCGGAAGCAAAGCGCCATTTCGGCGGCCTGCCCGAAGCGAAAGCGCCAAATGGAAGTCTCAACCTTCCCCCATCGATGTCCGTCGAATTTGACAACATGATTGAAGACTGGTACAACTGCTTCAGTTGCTTAAGCTAAAGCGTGCATTGCTCCAGCGCCGCAAGGCCTGCGAGAGTGCCTACCATTTTGGCCGAAGTCACGTCACTAAGCCAATCAACGTCCTCAAACTAAGCCAAAATGGCGGTACACGGCGATCGCCCTGTCAATTCAGGGCTTGTAAGGCTACGTGCCTCATCCAAGGACATACCAAGGTCAAGCTTTAACTTCTGACACACACACACACGCGCGCGCACACACACGGACGAACAACAAGTGTGGATATTTCTCCGAGGTCACTTTTCAAATGCTGACAACTGCGACTAGCGTCTCGCGGGCTGTGTCATCGCATGCGGAGGCTGATGCGCTCACCCATCCTGGTCCGGCGCAGGGTAAGCTGAACCAGTGACAGCACTGACTTGGCAAATCCAATCATGTAGCTGGCACATAATATCATCCCAACAGTGATGCACGTGGCCTGGCGTCCCTTAACAAGCACTGCGCGCATTTGCTTTGCAAAAAATAAAAGCGAGCCTCCAAGCCACACAACAAAATCAGGGGCGCAAGTGAACCCCAAAATCGCGGCCGCAGCCCCAAACCGCTGCAAAAATTGCGCTCCTTACATTTCGTGACAGGTTTTGCGCTTGCACAGCCCCTTCAGAACACGCCTCTTTCGCTTCTTCTTCCGGGCAAGACCTGGCTCAGTGCACGATTCAACCTGAAAGTGTCGGTCACAATTAGACCAGCCGTACGGTTGGTCTTGCTCATCGCCCACATCGTTTCGACTTTGTCGTCCGGCCTGCCAATGATGACTGCAAGAGTGTGTGTGTGTGTGTGGTGTGTGGGTGTGTGGGTGCGCGTGTGCGTGTGCGTGTGCGTGTGCGTGTGCGTGTGCGTGTGCGTGTGCGTGTGCGTGTGCGTGTGCGTGTGCGTCTGCGTCTGCGTGTGCGTGTGTGTCTGTGTCTGTGTCTGTGTCTGTGTCTGTGTCTGTGTCTGTGTCTGTGTCTGTGTCTGTGTCTGTGTCTGTGTCTGTGTCTGTGTCTCTGTGTCTGTGCCTCTGTGTCTGTGTCTATGTCTGTCTCTCTGTGTCTGTGTCTGTGTGTCTGTGTGTGCGTGTCTCTGTGTGTGTGTCTCTGTGTGTGTGTCTCTGTGTGTGTGTGTCTGTGTGTGTGTCTGTGTGTGTGTCTGTGTGTGTGTCTGTGTGTGTGTCTGTGTGTGTGTGTGTGTGTCTGTGTGTGTGTGTCTGTGTGTGTGTGTCTGTGTGTGTGTCGTGTTGTGTGTGTGTCTGTGTGGTGTCTGTTGGTGTGTGTCTGTGTGTGTGTTTGTGTGTCTGTGTGTGTCTGTGTCTGTCTGTGTGTGTCTGTGTGTGTCTGTGTGTGTCTCTGTGTGTGTTTCTGTGTGTGTGTGTGTGTCTGTGTGTGTCTGTGTGTGTCTGTGCGTGTCTATGTGTGTTTATGTGTGTCTGTGTGTGTGTGTCTGTGTGTGTCTGTGTGTGTTTGTCTGTGTATGTCTGTGTGTGTCTGTGTGTGTCTGTGTGTGTCTTTGTTGTGTCTGTGTGTGTCTGTGTGTGTGTTTGTGTCTTTCTGTGTGTATCTGGTTGTGTGTCTGTGTGTGTGTCTGTCTGTGTCTGTGTGTGTCTGTGTGTGTGTCTGTGTGTGTCTGTGTCTGTGTGTGTCTGTGAGTGTCTGTGTGTGTGTGTGTCTGTGTGTGTCTGTGTGTGTGTGTCTGTGTGTGTCTGTGCGTGTCTGTGTGTCTGTGTGTGTGTCTGTGTGTGTCTGTGTGTGTCTGTGTGTGTGTCTGTGTGTGTGTCTTTGTTGTGTCTGTGTGTGTCTGTGTG